TATTTTTTAATTTTTAATTATTTTTTTATATGTTTTTAAACTAATTAATAATAAGAGTTTTGTAATGGACGAGTGCGACAAAAGGTCTTAGAACATGAGTTCTTTATGCTATTTTATCTATTGTGCAAAAATTCTATAAAAAAAATTAATTATATACCTTAAATTTAATTTGGTCGAATTTTACTTTTGAAAGTTGGTATCACAGTCATTGGTTTGACAGTTACATATGTCAAAATCGATTCGCCATACCGTCCTTAATTTACTTATTTAAAATAAGCGGCCGTTAATTTTAAAGAAGAAAAAAAGGATTTTCTTTGGTGTCAAACAAAATTTATTGCCAGAAAAGTCTCGTAAGTACTAGAAAAATCATAAAAATATTATAACCAATATGCAAAATATTATGCTGTTTAAAGTATAGCCAATCTATAAAATTAAAATTTTGGGTGGAATAAAGTATAATTGTTTTTATATACCTAGGTACAAAAATACACCGTTGTCAATTTTTTTAATATTAAAAGCTTGATAACTTAAAATGCCTTTAGTGCCCCATTTTCGGGAGACCCTGTATATAATATTAATAATTTTTAAACACATTTTGATTTTTATCAAAAAATAAATAAAAATACATATTTCCATATTTAATATTTAATTTTTTATTGGTCTCGGAATAGATCCACAATATTTATTGTGTTTTTCTTATTTTTTTTTAAACATTATATTAGTTTATCTTACTAATAAATTTTATTTTGTCAAACATTCCTTTTTGGTAGGACATTTAAGTGCCCAGACTTTTTCATTAAAAATAAAATTAAAGGGATTAAAGATTGCAATTAGAGAATTAGATAATTAGAAGTAAGTATATATTGTAATTAAACTGAGGTTAAAAATCAATTATGTGTGCAAATTGGGCTTTTTCTTAATGATATAGGAACAATGTCTAAAAGCAACGCAATGGTTATACGGGGTGTCCCAAAAATGGCATAGTTTATCCATTAAACAAAAAACGATATTAATTTTTTGATTTTTTTGTATATTTATAAATTGGAATAATCAGAAAAACAATTAAATTTTTTAGGCTATTAAAAAAAAGTCTGTAATTATTTTTTGTTGATAATTATAATATTGTATTATAAAAATTGTGCGCTAAATTTTCAGAATTATTTTTTTTATGTTTTAAATAACTATAAAATTTTTCACTTTTATCAGATAAGATATGGCTACTTTATATAAGGTTTTTATTTTTTTAATATCAACTAGTATTTATCATTGACTTAAAAAAATATAATACAATAGTTACATACTTAAAAATTTGATAGTTCTACTCTCTAAAAATTAATTATTCAAAATAATAAAAATTAATAGTTATTAGTGGCTGCTTTTCACTTGTATCATGGTTAACCATGGAATACCATGGTATCCCAAAAATTACCAGCCAATTCTTATGTAAAATTGTCCCCTGAATCCAAAAATACCGTCAAAAATTATGAAAGTGGAGCAGTTTTTAAGATATAGTCAATTCCATATTTAATAGAAAATTGACTATATCTTAAAAATTGTTTTACTTTTTATTATCTTACTCCCCTAGCCCATTGGCTAGCGACGCCTTTGGTCAAATGCATTTAAAAGATTACAAAGTGAGGAAATGTGTGATCTGATTTTTACAATAATTGTTTAAAATAGACTCAGCCTACTTTTTGACAAGATTCCAAAAACATTTAAACAGTTATTTTTAATTTCTTTGAAACTTATAAATTTTATGCAAATTGGTGGTGTAATATAAGTTTGCTTTTAAAATACCTTAATTTATACAGGGTGTTCGCGTTGGACATCAGTCGACTTTTCCCTAAATTGTATTAGGGTAAACCACATAGTTATTGAACACTTAAGGAATATTATTTATTTAAAATTTATATATGCCGATGTTTTAAAGATTTTAGTTTTTTTTCTTATAAATATATACAAAGGATAGTTTGTTTGTTTAAACTTTATTTATGTTTACTTAAAAATAAATAAATAAATAAATAAGAATATTTGAATTTTTATTGGACATACAATTTTTATATAAACATAACAACTTTACATCAAATAACATAAATTGTTAAATATTTTTCAAAGATAAATTACTGTTTTAGGTAATTTTTTTATTTCGTTTTTGTAAATATCATATAATTCATATATTTCTTTCTCGGATTCCTCATCCCTTTTCTGAATTCTGAAGGTAACTACTAATTCGTTGGTCTGACTTCTGAAATAGTTTGTTGCAAATATCATTAAGTGTGGTATCTCTAGTTTGTGAAGCATTTATAATGTTTAGGCCGGAACAGGATGATATATATATATACATATCTAATATTTTTTTCGGGTGGTATGTTAAGAGTATTTTCCGAATTTATTAATTTTGTTGACATTAGTTTTTTATGTTCTCTATCATGCACTGTATTTAAATCACTGTTATTCTGCAAGATGTCCTGTGACGAAGAAATCACTATATTGCTTACTCTTTAAAAATGAATTAGTCAAAAATGTCATAGCGAAAAAGCAGCCACTAATTATTCTCGTCAATAGTAGTATCCAGAACATTTAGCAGTCAATTCCTATGAAATATTATTCGCTGAATCCGAAAATGTCGTCAAAAGTTATAAAAGTAGAACAGTTTTTGAAATATAATCAATTTTACATCTAATATGGAATTGACTATATCTCAAAAAATACTTAAATTTTATAGTTTTTGAGGGTATTTTCGGATTTAGGGGACAATTTTACATAACTGTCTACTTTACCTTACCTAAATTAAGAATTTTTTTAACTAATTTGTAGAAAAAAGTTTCACCTAATTTTATGGTTTCCATATAAAAATAACTATTATTATACATAAATAAAATTTAAAAAAATACATTTCAATGAAAAAATACAAAATCGCCATTTATAGTTGGATTTAAATAAATAAGTTTTTTGGAATATCTACAATTTTTCTGCTAAACATTTTTAGCAAAAATATCAACCAAAAAGATAAAAACAAAATAAAATAAAAAATATTTATTTAAAAAAAGTGTCGTTGATGATATTTTTTTGAAAACATTTCAATTTTTTTTACTTTTTTTTAAGTATTTAATATCTTGTTTAAAATATCTAACTAAAATAACCAATAATTAATTAATTAATATAAAACAATTAGAAACCATAAATATTATCTTTACAAAAAAACTAGTTTTTTCAAGATTACTTTTTGGAATTTTTTGACACTAATCCAAACACTTAAAGTAATTGATATAATAACAATAATTACATATTTCCAGAGACACGGAAGTTTTTTAAAATAATCTTATTTTATAGGAAACTTTTACTTAAAACTCTAAATAATTATTAATGTTATGATTTATAACCTTAACCTTTATTAGTGTAAAACCACGTGCATTTATTGCAATGCAACAATTACCATTACTTGAAATTCAGTTTAATTTTTAATTTAACAATGAGGATATAAATCGATAATTTTTTGTGTTATAAATAAATGCGCATAACCCAAAAATAGAACAGTAAAATATGTTGCGTCATTAATCTATTAAAATAATTGTCCTGATTGTTACAAATTATTTAGAATTAAAAAAGATTTAGATCTAAAGTTGACCCTTACACTAGTTTCAATAAGAGTTTCTTAAAGTTGTAACCAATAAATTTTTTTAAAGCGTTATCTGGGAAATACATATTTGTCCTCTAGTTACCGAATACTGTATATTAAATTTAATAATTGAAAAAACGCTGAATTTTTTTTAAACATAAATATCTTTAAAAAAATTATCAAAAAAAATATAGTAAAATTTACTTTTACAAATTTTTAGGGTAACAATATTATATATTCGTCAATACAATATTAAGATTGTAACACAATTATACAATTTTAGGAAATATTACAACACCAATATTACTAAATCATAAATGTATAAAATATATTTTAATTTTTAATATTTTCGTATAGTAAATTGGTTTTACTAACTACAAATAGTAATATTTACTATATGATTTAATCAAATGTAAGGTGTACATCTAATATTGTAATATATTACACATTAATAAAAAATATAGTAAAAATAAAGATACTTTTATGTTTAAGGTAAATAAACAATATATTTAAATATAATATACAATATAGTCTCATGACATTTTAAACATTCAATTTTCTTAGTTTCTTCAATAAACTTTCTTGACCCATTACTGGTAGTACTTATAAGAAAGAATTAAACCTACTTGGTTGCATAGTATGAACCGATTGCGGCAAAGGCCACGTCGCGACGCGTCGTTAGACGTGATGTTCTTACATCTCGCCTCTGTTGGCTTACCAACCATGTTATATAAGCTCAGGTATTTCTTTGTTTTGGGTGTGTTCCACCACTACAAGTTGCTCGACAGTGTCGTGTCGACACTGATGATACCCAATATCGGTCAAAACACCTGTCTTTCGGTATTTGAAGTTGATGGAACGCACTCAAAACAAAAAACTTTGGCGAGGTGTAGGTTCAATTCTTTCTCATAACATTTTTGTATATTAAAAAGTACAATAAATATGGCAACATAATATTTTAAAATTTACTATACTTATTAGTAATGGAAAAAATCTAATTATAATAAGAATTAAAAACAAAATTGGTTGAGAATAATAATATTAAAGTTTAATATACATGCATATTTAAAAATTACTAAATATGCATAGTATCTGGGAATATACAAGATAGTTGTCTCAAATAGTAATATAAATTATAGTAAAGGGTATTATAATTATGGTAATCAGCATTATACTTTTCTCTCCGTGTATATTGAAAATTTAGAATGTTATTAGGAAATATATTTTTTTAAATCCCAGAAAATTAGACATTAAAGATATAGGTGTTTGATATTTATCCCAGTTATTTTCATTGTTTAAACACACATTATGCAAAATGTATAAAATTTCTTTAAACTAAAAACACTAATTTTTTCTGAAGTTTTTTCTCGTCCCTAACGTACTTGAAGAGACTTCAGCGTTCAGTAACGAACCAATATTTGGAATAATCGCCACGTGATTACACAAATCGAACAAATTCAAAGAAAATTCCAGTGACTTAATGTAATCCTGTGAGGACTTATTTTTTGGAAATTGGTGACTAAATTTTGACTAAAGTTTTCGTAGTATGGCAGCTTTTAGAACGTTTAGAAAAAGCTTGGGTTCTTGTACGTAAGTAGATAAATAAATTAAATTAAATTATGGATAATTTATTTGGCATAGTTTTATAAATGCTTGATACAATTTTTATATTCCACGTGCCTCGAGTCGTTCTTAATTTATTTAAAATGTTACTATACAAAAAAATCGCATAAAAAGTTGCAATTTAATATAAATAGAGGTTTAATAAAATTAAACACATTCTCTTTTAGAAACAATATTTTATACTCTTGTCTTATTTTTTAGTTTAGATTTTAAATTAACAATCAATCCATTTAGTGCATTTAATTTATCTACAGTGTGTTTTATTTTTATTGATGTTTATTTAAAAAATATATTTTAAGTTTTTAGTACACAAATCTTTTAAAGAAAAAAAGTGTAATATGTCATTTCCATGGCCCTCTATGATTAATAGTGGCCCAGTCTAATAAATATCCTTAACTTTCTGTCATTTTAATAAAAACCTATAATCAAAATAAAATTACTTAAAATTAGGTAATATTAGGGGATGAAACTTTAAGGGAAGTTTTCTCGATATATACGACAATATTTTGCTAGGGGAGTGACAAAAAACAAATCACCTTAATATGTGTTTTTTTTAGCTAAAAATATCTTATAAAAACACTTTTCCTGTAAAATTAAATCTCTTTTAATGTGTTAATAATATTAATTTGTAGAAGGTATCAACAATTCCAAAATCAAGGCTATAAAACTATTATTTACTGACATGCCGTTTAAATAGTGTTTTTGCTTTATTGCTACAATTTGATGTGCTACACTGGTTCCGAGGTTAAAAAAGTGTTTAACTTGAACAATTTGTTTGTGAGTAATCTGATCAGAATTTTTGATTTTGCACCTATAAATTATATGTTTTTTACTGTTTTGAATCATCCCATTATTAATGTATATTTGATGATCTTACTTCCTATGCATTGAAAACATGTTTCGTTTAAACAGTTTAGGAAATATTTTTTTTCTTGTATTCTTAAAATGTTTATACATAAATTTAACATTTTTTTTAATTAATTTTTAAAATATGCGGAAACTAAACAGTCTAGATATGGTTAGTTTTAACCTAAACTAAGTAATTGATTTCGTAGGCGTAAAATTGAAAATGTGCAATATTTCCAGAAAAAAATATTATTTGCATTTACCCAATTACTTAATTAGCTAATATTAAATTTCCTGCAATTTCTTACAATTTAAATAAGACCCCAATTAGGGCAGGCGCTTTAAAAATCTTATGCACAGAGGACAGTTGGGATTTGTTGGCATAACTAATTTAAAACGCCCTTTAGTGACCTTTTAAATACACATTGACAAGTTGCGGCTTTATGGCACTTTAGTCACGGGCTGTCATACAATCGTTAAAATAAATTGCCTTTCTTGTAAAATAATACTAAATGTGAAAATTATTTTATTATCTCAATACAAAAATACAAAAGTATTAAATAGTTTCTCAACGCCAATATTTGAAAAGTTTGTATGAACATTGTACTGACCTTTTAATTTCGCCGGCAGTAAACTATAACTTAAATTCGGGCACGGACTGCACTGTAAAGTGCTCATAAAACATTTTCTTTACTTTCACTGTGAAAAACTGTCAATTTTCAAGAAATACATTTCGATTTATAACCTTTATAATTGTGTTTATAAAATTAAAAAATTTGACATTTGACGGTGACACACAGATTCCCCTATTGTTTCATAGATGGCGCTATATACAAATTTTTGATTTAAATCATATTAAGATAATAAGTATTTGTCGTAGAAAAAGTATAGTATGCACCTCGTTTATAAACTTTTGTATCCACTCATTAATTTAAGCACTCGCTCGCAAGCTAAAATGGCGTTTATCAAACTTGATACATAATATACTATTATCCACTTCTTGCGACGAGCTGTTGGCGTTTTAGTCAGGGGCTGAAGTTAGAAACAATGGCTTTTAAGCTCTTTTGTCACGGGTTGAAGTTTATTATTATTATAAATTGGAAAAACATTAACAAATAAAATTGTACAAAAATAAATACGTGTAAACAATCCTTTATATTATCTAATACAAAGTGTGTTCAGAAAATAACGGGTATTTGGAGGGTCCGGTTGTCATAAAATTTTCTTTATTATGTTGGTATACATGCCCCCGAAGTAGGATAAAAACTTTAACTGTTTTCATTGTTTACTTTGTCTGTGGCAGCCGCTAAGGTTAGACGTGTTTTATGAGCTCGGCGATTTTTCGTTCGTTAAAAGAAATGGATCAAAGAATTTGTATCCAATTTTGCTTAAAAAATGAAAAAAATTCTGTGAAATGTTAACAAAGGCCTATAGTGAGTCTGCTATAAGTAAAACAAGAGTTTACAAGTGGTATAAGAGTTTCCAAGATGGCCGTGAAGACGTTGAAGATGACGAACGCCCCGAACGCACATGCACATTAACAACCGATAAAAACATGGAAAAAGTGGAAGAAATGGTTATAAACCATCAGAGAAGTCGCTGATGATGTTGGTATATCGATTGGCTTATCCCATGAAATTTTTTCGAATGTTTTTGGGAATGAAACGCGTGGCAGCAAAATTTGTTCTAAAATTGTTAAATTTTGAACAAAATTTTTGGCCAAAGACAATACTGTAATGATGCCCCAGCCTCCATATTCGCCAGACATGCCTCTGTCTGACTTTTTCCTATTCCCAAAAATAAAGAGAACCTTAAAGGGCCGTCGTTTTGCAAGCATAGATGACATTAAAAGCGCATCGCTGAAAGAACTAAAGGTTATCCCAAAGATCGAGTTTTAGAAGTGTTTCGAGTATTGGAAGAAAAGCTGGCACATGTGCATGTGCAATGGGGACTTTTTTGAAGGCAACAACATTAATGTAGACGAATAAATAAATATTTGTTTCAAAAAACGAAAATTCCCGATATTTTCTGAACACACCTTGTATATCTAGTTTTTACCACTATAACGATGTATTTATTTTTTATTAACCACCTGTTTATTATTATGGTAACCACAATTTTTAATTCGACATTATTAATATAACACCTTGTTATTCGCGGTTGAATTAAATCGTAAAAAACACAATTTCCAGCAAATATTATTATCAACGTAACCGTAATTTATTGTAAATAAAAAAATAAAGTTATTATTTTAATTATATCTGATATGCTAAATAAGTCGCAATTAGTTAAATTGACAACATATGTAAATACAGAGCCTTGAAACAGTTTTTGTTATGCAGGTAAGGTTTACATTTTTAAATTTGTGGATTAACCCATATTGCAAAACCGATAAATCCCAAGAAATCCCAAGTCAACAACTATAACTATAACTATAAAAAAGTACAATGTTTTATTAATTATTTAATTTTCACATTATTTGTCAAGAAATATCTTTACGGAGTGTTTTAAGATTCTTTTAAACATTTTTGAAATTTTTAATTTTTACATTTTGATGTACCACCAAATGAACCACCAAAGGTACCTTTTTTATTAAATTTTCAGTGTCTTATTGGGACAAAAACCTACGATTTGTCAAAGTAATGAGATTATTTTTATTTACAGAATAAACTTTTTTTACTGTTAATAAAATTGTCATTTACTATAATGAAGCAGCAATGTTGAGCTTTATAAAAAAAATGTTCATCCAACAAAGTAATAGTTGTTATCATATTGTCATGGCAATAAGAAATACTTTATGTTTATATTAAATCTTTGTCGAACTTAAAATGTTTTTGTTAAATCTATGGTTGTGTGTGAATTGCGCTTACGTAAAGTAATGCGCAGATGTTATAGTAAAATTTGTTTATTTTACTATGGCATATTTGTCTTTTTAAAATTACTATCGTTGTAATTCAAATTAACTTTATTTCAGTTAGAAATAGCATACGTTAAGAACAATAACAAAAATATTTATAGCAATAAAAAAAAGACTTTTTTAATATTTACTATTGTTTTGCAATGGTTACAAAATTTTTGTTATTTCCCTTAAAAAGAGGGGGAAAGGGCCAGCGCTCTCCTTGGTGAACATAACTTTATAATCCACAGTATTATAATCTTATTGAATCACTTGTGCGAGTGAAGTTTGGTAAAATCTAGCATGACAAAAATATCAAAAAGATCACTAAGAAAATTAAAATTTCGACGTTTTCTAATATAAATATTTAAGGTCTATTCTATAAACGAAGCAGACTTGTTGTTTAAAAAGTGAGTTCATATTTTCTTTATTTTGTACATCATATAATATGAGTTAATTTTTTTGTTATAATAAATAATTTGTTTTAATGCCTTGCAATTTAAAAAAAAAAACTACCCAACACCCAACAATAGCTTGAAAATGTGACCATTGTTACAATGAAAATAGTCTTTTGAATTAACAATTAATTTCTTGTTAAATTTACATAAATTTTGGTAAAGTCTGGATTAAAACAAAAATGCATCTAGGTTTTAAAAAGTATCTTGACCTTTTACGTTGTATAAGTATTAAAACATATGTATTAGGGTGGGCCGAAAATCCGCTTTTTTAGAATTTCGTTTAGTAATAGCAAAAATTTTGTTCATTATGTTGTAAAAAAATTTTGTGTAAAAGATTAAAATTTTCGATCAACATCCTAGGCTCGCCCAACGCAATTAAAGATCAAAATGTTCAAAAAAATTTTGATACTAAAATCGGGTTTATTTCTAAAACTATCCATCTGAAGTAATTTAGTGTAAGGACCTTTTTTGTAGAGCATAAAATTTCCGATCGAATTAAGTTAGGAAAATTTTTTTTTGAACATTTTGATCTTTAATTGCGCTGGGCGAGCCTAGGATGAGGATCGAAAATTTTAATCTTTTACACAAATTTTTTTTACAACATAATGAACAAATTTCTGAAACTATCCATCTGAAATAATTTTGTGTAGAGCATAAAATTTCCGATCGAAATAAATTAAGAAAAATTTGTTTTGAACATTTTGATCTTTAATTGCGTTGGGCGAGCCTAGGATGTTGATCGAAAATTTTAATCTTTTACACAAATTTTTTTTACAACATAATGAACAAAATTTTTGCTATTACTAAACGAAATTCTAAAAAAGCGGATTTTCGGCCCACCCTAATATGTATATTTATTATTAATGAACGAAACATTTTTATTTATTTCTATTTTATTCATTTTGCAAGACCTTTAATTAATCTATCTTCATTTTTCAGAATGGAACTCCAAAACAAAAAGTCAAGTAACCACACGGACAATGGTAAACAGCCGTGGTATGGGTCAAAGTCAAGTTGCCAAACGGATAAAAGGTAGGTCATTATACTTTTTACTTTACCTTACAATTAGACTAACTACGCTGTAGATAGCACCTTGCATCAAATTTAAGATATCTGCGAAAATATGTATCCTACATAAATAAAAAAAATGTAGGTGAATCTCACGAAATGTCCCCCGATGGTGGTACCCCCGTGATATTTAATAAAACTAAATGAGTTTGAACTACACTTTTATTGTGTTTTGATCTTTCATAACTAAGTAGATATTACAGCTAAGGTTCCAGATTTTTAACCGTAATTAATTATTTTTTACAATGTTTTAAAAGTCTGAAACCTATCCTCCGTGATTGTTACTCTTTCTAGGTTAACCTATATGTTTTCAACTATCTGAGGTAGTAAAAGCATACTAAAAATATCAGTTCACTAAGTAAATTAAACACATCAGCAATCGAATCAAATATAAAATATTATTAAAAATTTAAAGAAATAATTTTTATAACCATTTATGTAGGTGTTTTGATTGATTCTATCCTCCGTGAATCTTTAATAAAGTAGCTTTAATCATTTTAAATAAGCAAAAACCTCTGTTTACGACATTATAGGTGCATGTGATTCCTGAAGGTCAGTTAGAATTTATATGCAGATGAGAGTGTTGCTGTTTTATAATTCAAAAGTTTAAGTTTATTAATTTGCTATTTAGAAACCTATCCACCGTGAAGTGTAATATCTCAGTGAGTAGATTTTTTTATAAATATTTTATGTATGTAGAATAATACAATAACTTATTTCAAATACACAAAGGGATGTTTAAAAAAAACATACGAAATCCTAACCTCCGTGAAGCTTTTTTTATATAAACTTCATAAAGAAAGATATCTAAAAAAATTGTGTGGATTGCTCTGTCTATGTGGTTTTACTCTAAGGTCTTCTCGAAAAAATAAAAACAAAAACATCTTGCCTGCGTACAGCAACAAGTAAGAAGAGTTGCAAAATTATTTTAATTACAATGCGATATTAAGAACCCGTTCGTTACGAAGCGGTTTTAACCTGAATTTTTCTTTAAATAATTCAATCGCTCGTGTCATAATGCGTTTTGGATGTTTAAACATTCCCATGTTAAATTTATGGTTGGTCCTTGATTTTAAAGGATTTTTTATGCATTTTTAGGTTTAATTTGTATTTTTTATTGTCATTGACACAATTAAACAAATTTATTTTTATATTATTGTTTTCATAAATATTTAATGCTTCTTTAATGTTTTGTTTATGTTTTTACTTTTTTTTTTAATTTTGTTTATAATGTTAGTCTAGAAGGGGGTTTTTGGGAAATCACACATTTTGAATATTAGAGCTTCACGGAAGATAGATTCCCGAAGGTATTATTTCGTATGTTTTTTTTTGAAACATCCCTTTGTATATTTGAAATAAGTTATTGTATCTTTTGACACTATATTATAAAACAGCAACACTCTCATCTGCATATGAATTTTAACTGACCTTCAGGAATCACATGCATCTATAATGTCGTAAACAGAGGTTTTTGCTCATTTAAAATGATTAAAGCGCCACCCGTTGCATAAAATTTAAAGCAAAAACAGATTCACGGAAGATAGAATCAATTTTTGTAACACCTACATGAATGGTTATAAAAATTATTTCTTTTAATTTTTAATAATATTTTATATTTGATTCGATTGCTTTGGATGTGTTTAATTACTTAGTGAACTGATATTTTAGTATGCTTTTACTACCTCAGATATTCGAAAACATATAGGTTAACCTAGAAAGAGTAACAGTCACGGAAGATAGGTTTTAGACTTTTAAAACATTGTAAAAAATAATTAATTGCGGTTAAAAATCTGGAACCTGAGCTGTAATATCTACTTAATTATAAAAGATCAAAACACAATAAAAGTGTAGGTCAAACTCATTTAGTTTTATTAAATATCACGGGGTAACACCATCGGGGGACAAAAACAAATTTTTAACAAAAAATCTAAAATTTGCTTTAAAATCATAAATTACATGAAAATCATGTCAAGCTCATTTCTCTATTTGGTTTGTTTCCATAACAACCGCTATTGGCTATGTAAAGAATTTCAGCTGTACGTTGTGATAAACCAAAATATTACATTTAAAAAAATCAAATTAAGCAGCTGACATTGACAAGGTTAACAAATGTACATTCTCACAGTGTGTCAAAATCATTATAAATATTTTTCTACCCCACCCTTAAAACACCCATTATCGTAGATGACACTAGTGATATTTTAAATACACATTGACGAGAAGTTGGCGTTTTAGTCACGGGCTGAAGTTTGCAACAAGTTTTTAGTCACGGGCTGAAGTTAGTTGACAGTTGTCAAATGTAATACAATCGTTGGTTACTCTATTATTTTGTAGATGTTGCTCTATACAAATATTTAATTTAAATCATTTTTAGTTAATAATTAGTATTTGTCGTAGAAAAAGTATGGTATGCAACTCGTTTAAAAAAATTTCTAGACACTCATTTAATTAAATACTCGCTCGCAAATTCCTACAAATAACAAGGTCATAACGATTTTTTGTTTTGATTGGTTTTCGTTTTTTTTTAATTATTCAAAATCCTCTAATTTTTTCAATTCTCCAATACCATTTTAATAGACTTGTTATTACGCATAGAATGATACTTGGTGCACCCTGTATAAATAAACAAACTCAAACATGCAAAACATAAATGTTTATTTAATTTTTATTTTAAACAAATAGTTTTTTTCTTAATTTTCATAATTATAGGCAAATTTGAATTTTGACTAAAAAAGTGGAATGACCCATACAATATTTAATTAAATGTAGAAAATCTTTATCTTTATTTGTATTTATTTTTATATTAACATCTGGAATTTTTTGAATCCTTGACTCAGTTTAAAAAGAACTAAGTAGGTAAAGCATTACGGCCATTTCAAGCGGATGGACGGGACAAATCACAAAACTGTTTTTATAAAAAAAATTGTAGCTAATTTATTATATATTATTTTTGCATCAAAATTGTCAAAAAAATTCTTCTAAATATTATATAATAAATAATCTACAATTTTTTTTATAAAAACAGTTTTGTAATTAGGCGTTTCGCGCGCTTGAAATGGCCGATTATTATCATAATCTTTTCAAGATTGATTTAATTAATATTTTGTCACAAAAAATTCCGAAACACGCACTAAAAATCATAATAAGTAGTTTTAGATTAATTTATTTACACAGTATTAGGTATACTACTATACTAACTACCTTATAATTACAGAAAGGCAAACACGATTATTATGTAATATAATGACATATTACTTATATGTATTAGGAGTGATATTTATGGGTACATTTTCTTTAATGGTGACCATGAAAATTTAATTACAAAGAAATCCGTTTGATTAAACAATAAAACAAATCTAATTGCTTGCTCTACAACGGCTTCCTATTATGTGAATTAGATTTCAATTATTTAAGAAACATATTTTTAGGTGATTTTTCCCCTTATAATTGCAATACCTACATTACGTATACCGTATATCGATGCCTTTGTTATTGATGTAAAAAATTACTTTTTTTTAATAAGATTGTTTGTTTAAACTTTATTTACGTTTACTTAAAAATAAGAATATTTGCATTTTTAATATTAGTTTTATAAAGACCTGCAAAAAAGTATAGTAATTGTGTAATTTTATATAAACATTACAACCTTACATCAAGTAACATAAATTGTTGGGTATATATTTTTTAGGTAATTGTTTTATTTCTTTTTTGTAAATATCATATAATTCATATATTTCTTTCTCGGATTCCTCATCCCTTTTCTGGATTCTGAAGGTAACTACTTATTCCTTGGTCTGACTTCTGAAATAGTTTGTTGCATATATCATTAAGTGTGGTATCTATAGTTTGTGAAGCATTTATAATGTTTAGGCCGGAACAGGATGGTTTATATATATCTAATATTTTTTTCGGGTGGTATGTTAAAAGTATTTTCCGAATTTATTAATTTTGTTGCCATTAGTTTTTTATGTTCTCTATCATGCACTGTTTAAATCACTGTTATTCTGCAAGATGTCCTGTGACGAAAAAATCACTATATTACTTACTCTCTAAAAATGAATTAGCAGCCACTAATAATTCTCGTCAACAGCAATTTGTATCCAGGACATTTAGCAGTCAATTCCTATGAAATATTATTCGCTGAATCCGAAAATGTTGTCAAAAGTTATAGAAGTAGAAGAGTTTTGAAATATAATCAATTTTACATATAATATGGAATTAACTATATCTCAAAAACTGCTTAACTTTTATAATTTTTGACGGTCTTTTCGGATTCAGGGGACAATTTTACATAAGAATTGGCTGGAAAATGTCCGGGATACAAATAGAGTATGATATTGGACATATGTCCAATAATAAAAATTTACATTTTTTACCAACCAGTAATTGGACACTGGCCAGTTTACTGTTTGTTTTCAGAATTAAAATTAAAACGCATTAAAGTGACTATGTTTAAACCATGAGGAACACATTTATACCACACACTGATCTGTACACTTTTTAGAAATATTTTCTTACCACCAAAGTAACGTGCGAAATTTTTTATAAAATATTTTTAATAAAATTACGATTTATCTAAATCAGATAAACTGATATTGCTACTTTTTAAATTTTGGCGGATGCGCCGGGATAATTTTCCATATTTATTAATTAATTAATTTTATTTTTTGCAGCAGCAGTAATGATGATGTATTTATGACATTTCAATCAAAGGATCCCATAATATCGATACCAATGCAAGAAAAATCCTCAAAAGAAAAAGCAGCTGGTGGACATGGGCTGACAGTTGAACACCCGACATCGTAAGTAAAAAAAAAAGAAAAAAAAAAAGAATGCCACTTTGTCCTAACATTTTTTTATTTTGACCCACTGTGCTAATTTTATTGTTTTTAAAACAACTTTCAATTATCCAATTTTGTTTGAAATTGGGCAGTTGATTAATACAAAAAATAATAACTTTATTTGCATTATTAGACACTACAGTCTTATATCCAAATTCCAACAAATCTTATTTCATTTAATTCATAAAAATAATATAAAAAATCACAATAAAATTCAATGATAAAATTTTTATTCTTGTGACATTTTATTTTGTTTAACTACTTACTTAATTTGTTGTTTTTAAAACAGGCCTGTGAACTTTGCAGAATAAATATTATTTTATAAAATTTCTGAATAATTAAGTTTGTTTTTTAAATTATTCGCTTATATGTACATACATACATAAGTATAATAAAAAATCTTGACAATAAGTGAGGTTTATTTAATTTGTTAACAATTGTTAACACTTCTATAGAAATATTTTAATATTATAATTTTTTTATCGGCTTATTTTGTCATGTCCAATTGCTAATTATCATTTCATGTGTACAGTTTATAATAACAAATTAAAGTTGAAATTTTACGGTAATTAGCATTAAACAATAAATAATATTATAAAGGATTTTAAAGTTAACAATTGTTTATACCTATTAAAGATTAAAGATTTATACCTGTATTAAAATTAATTATTCTTATAAGCAATAAAAATATTTTTATATTTAGTTGGGTGAATATATTAAGATGTCCCCCAAGTGAAAATAATTATTTTTTATTTTTGGTTCTTTCACTGTTAGTCTAGAATGGGGTTTTTGGGAAGCAACCAGTTCTAGTAAAATCATACATTTTAAATATTAGAGCTTCACGGAGGTTAGGATTTCGTATGTTTTTGTAAAAACATTTCTTTGTATATTTGAAATAAGTTATTGTATCTTTTGTCACCTTAATATTTTTTAAAAATACAATTGTACATACATAAAATATTTATAAAAAAATATATTTACTGAGATATTACACTTCACGGTGGATAGGTTTTTAAATAGCAAATTAATGAACTTAAACTTTTGAATTATAAAACAGCAACACTCTCATCTGCATATAAATTCTAACTGACCTTCAGGAATCACATGCATCTATAATGTCGTAAACAGAGGTTTTTGCTTATTTAAAATGATTAAAGCGCCATCCGTTGCATAAAATTTAAAGCAAAAACAGATTCACGGAGGATAGAATCAATTTTTGTAACACCAACATAAATGGTTATAAAAATTATTTTTTTTAATTTTTAATAATATTTTATATTTGATTCGATTGCTTTGGATGTGTTTAATTTACTTAGTGAACTGATATTTTTAGTATGATTTTACTACCTCAGATATTTGAAAACATATAGGTTATCCTAGAAAGAGTAACAGTCACGGAGGATAGGTTTTAGTCTTTTAAAACATTAGAAAAATAAGTAAACTTTTTATATTGATAAACCTATTAATTAAAGTATTTTTTCTAGATATGTTGAGACCATAATGCATTTATTTAAAGGGAATGTTGGCTCGGGAATTTTTGCCATGGGTGATGCAATAAAAAATGCCGGAATACTGCTTGGACCTGGGGTTGTTCTCATATTGGGAATTATTTGTGTACATTGTCAACATTTATTGGTAAGAAAAATCCTTTATATTATATTAACTAATTTTTATCTTTACTTTCACTGTGAAAAACTGCTTCTATATCTATATTTTGATTTACACATAAAAATTTGAATACAGATTCCCAAGTTACTAACTTGAAATTAGAATGGTTACTCTATTGTTTTATAGATGCCGCTCTACACAAATATTTAATTTAAATCATTTTTAGATAATAGTTAGTATTTGTCGTAGAAGTATAACTAGGATGCAACTCGTTTACAAACTTTTCTATACTCATTTAATTAAACACTCGCTCGCAAACTTTCACGTGCCTAATTAAAAATCGTCACTAAAATAGCGTTTATTAAACTTGATACTAATATACTATAACAGTGTAATGTTTAACTTAAAAAAATCCAAATGACCTAAAATTGATTTATCCAACTATCTAAAATATTATAACAAAAATGTGGATAAATTTTAATGATAAAATTGAAATATTTAGCAGAATATTTTATTTAAAAACGTATTCAAATTTTGCAGAATTCGTATTCATAAACTATCGAAGAAATTTGTTTACAAACAAAAATTTATCAGGTCATCTCGCTAAACTATAACCTAATTCTTTTATTCGTATTATTCAATATAGACATGGCCAAATAAATATTTAATCTGAGCCCGATTATTGCAAACAAAACGAAACGGTTGAATTAACATTGGTAGAAATTCTTTTAAACACAATGAAATTACAGACATCCTGCTATTAACAGTAATAAACAAAATGTATATAGGAGTAAAAAATTGCACGTTTTTTCGTGTAGGTGTTTTTAATTTTTAATTTAAACACACAATTATAATTGATAAAGTCATTATTTGATTATGAAATAATAATTTGCATAAAGTACCCAACACACGAGGATATATAGAGACAGTATAATCGACTTCCTATACTTGAACGCGTACGAAAACGTGCCGTATACACGGAGAGAAATGTATAGTAAATTTTAGATAGTAAAAAAATATAGTAAAATTTACTTAACAAATTTTTAGGGTAACAATATTATATATTCGTCAATACAATATTAAGATTGTAATATAAAATACTATTTTTTATTATAAAATTTTAGTAAAGATTACAACACCAATATTACTAAATCATAAATGTATAATATATATTTTAATTTTTAATATGTTTGTATAGTAAATTGATTTTACTATCTACAAATAGTAATATTTACTATATGATTTAATCAAATGTAAGGTGTTCATCTAAAATTATAATATATTACACATTAATAAAAATATAGTAAAAATAAAGATACTTTCATGTTTAAGGTAAATAAACAATATATTTAAATATAATATACAATATAGTAACTCATGACATTTTAAACATTCAATTTTCTTAGTTTCTTCAATAAACTTTCTTGACCCATTACTGGTAATACTTATAAGAAAGAATTGAACCTACTTGGTTGCATAGTATGTACCGATTGCGGCAAAGGCCACGTCGCGACGCGTCGTTAGACGGTGTGGATCACGTGATGTTCTTACATCTCGCCTCTGTTGGCTTACCAACCATGTTATATAAGCTCAGGTATTTCTTTGTTTTGGGTGTGTTCCACGACTAGAAGTTACTCGACATTGTCGTGTCGACACTGATGATACCCAATATAGGACAAAACACCTGTCTGTCGGTATTTGAAGTTGATGGAACGCACTCAAAACAAAAACTTTGGCGAGGTGTAGGTTCAATTCTTTCTCATAACATTTTTGTATATTAAAAAGTACAATAAATATGTTACAATTTTTAATTGTTAACATATAAAAATATTCGATTTTAAAATATTTTATATTTAAAATGGCAACATAATATTTTTAAATTTACTATAAGTAATATTATTAGTAATGGAAAAAATCTAATTATAATAAGAATTTAAAACAAAATTGGATGAGAATAACAATATTTTACCTTAAGGTTTAATATACATGGATATTTAAAAATTACTAAATATGCATAGTATCTGGCAATATACAAGATAGTTGTCCCAAATAGTAATATAAATTATAGTAAAGGGTATTATAATTATGGTAATCAGCATTATACTTTTCTCTCCGTGTAGATTCCAAACGGTGGGTATGGTTTAAATGCCCTCGATATTTTGACTGACCAATCACATTTTGTTTAACGTTATTTATTTTTAGTTATCAGCATCTAAAACTATGGTTGACAAGCTTCAATTAACAGAAGCACCAGACTACGCACAGACTGTACAAATAGTAATAGAAAATGGACCGCGACCTATTCAAAAATTTGGAAAAACTATGAAGACGGTGGTTAACATGTTCCTATGCGTGACACAACTTGGTTTCTGCTGCGTTTATTTCGTATTCATATCGGAAAATCTGAAACAGGTAAGTTTTACGTTCCTTTAACACAACATTGTTCCAGATTTTTTCATCAAACACAGATACTCAGAGCTGGAAGTATCTTAAAAAAAAAGATACTTAAAAGTAACTTAGATACTTCCCTGATAGCAAAATTTGATTCTAAGAATGTTCTAAGAAGATATGACCCGGAATAATGGAATATTCTTAGAACCTTCCCTTATTGCTAATAATGTTCTTAGGGACTTTTAAAACATTCCATAGATACCCTTTTAATGATGCAATTTGATTCATGGAAGCTTCTTAAAACCTTCCTAAAAAGCATTCTAAGAACATTTTAAGAATACGTTTTTGGAATGTTCTTAGAAGGTTTCTTGTGGAGCTTTTAGGAAGCTTTTGAGAATATTTCCAAATATGTTAGATACCCACGTTCTAATATGTTGGATTCTACATTCGTAAAATTCTTCACGAGGCGACAAATAGGCCTCTGTCATAATATGACAGTGAAATGTATTTTTCGTCCCCTTAAAAAATTTTGCGACATATTAATATTTATTTATTTAAAAGTATTAAATAAACAATTTGACCTCTAAACCATAAGTTGTATGACATTATTTCATAAAAAGTAAAATTGGAAAATTTTGTGGGATAAGTCAGATTAGATTGAAGTTGAAGATAGTTGGGATTATTATACATAAAAATGTTAATTCAGAAATAAAAAATCGGTATACAAATTAATAAATATTTATTTTTAACATAAAATAAAATATGAAAAAACAAAATATTTCCTTATAAAATAATTCATCATAAAAGAAAAAACCAAATGGTTCTTCATAAAAAAACATTTTTCATTGTATTTAAGTTGGATAGAAGATTTTATGTAAAAGCCGGATAATTTAGATACCTATAGTAAAAGTATTTTTGTTATCGAATATTGTTTTAATTTTACAAATAACTATAAAAAATATTTTGGGTTGTGTTTTTTACTTAGTATTTAATACTAAGTATGGGTACCTTTATACGTAGATTATGGTATATTTTACTATTATATAGGTACCTAACTGAACTGAATATGCTTAACAGAATGTTCCAGGAATATTCCTAAACGAACTTTCTATAGCAATTACTTTCTCAACATTCTAAGCATATGTTTAGAGTGGATTAATTTTTACCACTAAACTTTGCACCTTCTAAAAACCTGCCTATAGGCCAGTGAGAATATTCTTAGGATTATGCTATATTTCTTTTAAGCATGTTCTTTAGAAGAAATATAGCATGATCCTAAGAATATTCTCACTGGAAGGTTTAAAAAACATTCTTAGAACATGACTAGAAGAAATATAGCATGATCCTAAGAATATTCCCACTGGAAGATTTAAAAAACATTCTTAGAAGTAACTTTCCCAGCTCTGGTGCTACTGCATTGACGAGGGCTGCTTGATGAAACAGTTTTAATATTTTTCCAGGTTTGTGATTTCTACGGATACGAGCTGGACGTCCACTTCCACATGGCAATAATCCTATTGCCGATCCTATTGACTGCGCTGATAAGAAATCTGAAGTACCTGGCCCCGTTTTCGACTTTCGCAAACATCTTGATGTTTGTCGGTATCCTCACGTGTCTGTACTACAGCTGCCTCGACTTGCCAAAAATTTCGGAGAGGAAATACGTTGCCAACTGGCAACAACTTCCCCTTTTCTTCGGCACAGCACTCTTCGCTTTCGAAGGAATCGGTCTGGTGAGTCAAATTTAGACTACTTCATAAAATCGCACCTTGACATAATATTAATAATTATTATTATTGTTATAACAATATTTCTTCTTTTTAGGTACTGCCTCTTCAGAACGAAATGAAAGAACCCAGGAAGTTTAAGACTCCATTTGGCGTTCTGAATGTTGGAATGACTTTTGTGATTATTTTGTATTTGATGGTGGGATTTTTGGGTTACTTGAAATTCGGCGAAGATATTAAAGGCAGTGTTACCCTTAACCTGCCTGAGAGTGATATGTAAGTACCAAAAGAATCAATTAAATTTAGGTATTAGGAAGTAGCACAATCCACACAACAAGGTCTGTTCTATCTCGTACTAAAAATACAAAAAATCACTGCAACTGCACAGTTTAACGGCGGCCATTTTTGTTGTTTACAATTTTTGTGCTTTGGGTTTGTGCTCTGTTTATACAGATTAATAATTGTTTTAAACGTTGTGTTCCTCATAGTAAGCCTTAAAAGAGGCCTTAAAGTGCTAAGAACAACCATTTTACTCCTCTATTGTAAAAAATAAACTTTATTATTTATCAGGGCTGTTATAAAACTGTCAAATGTCAATTTTAAGGTTAAATTGTAACCCACAAATTAACCTTCAAATTGTCATTTGACAGCCCTGATAGAATAAGGTATATTTATTATAAAAGAGGAGTAAAATGGTTGTCCTTGGCACTTAAAGGCCTCATTTGAGGCTTACAAGAGCCTCTGTAAGAAACACAATGTTTAAGACAATTATTAAACAGCACAAACCCAAAGCACAAGAATTGTAAACAACAAAAATGGCCGCCGTTAAACTCTGTGCAGTGTTGCAGTGATTTTTAGTATTTTTAGCATGAGATAGAACAGACCAGTGTTACCAGATTCTGTCAAAAAAGGACCGTACGTTTCGTTCGAATTTACCTTAATTACAAAATGACACAATGAAACAATGCAAATAAATGCAATTATGTCAAGTTGACGTTATTTAATATTGTCCATTGAGTCATTTTTGTAATTAAGGTAAATTCGAACGAAACGTACGGTCTTTTTTTGACAGAATCTGGTAACACTGGAACAGACCTTGTGTTGTGTGGATTGTGGGAAGTAGGTATAAAATTTTCTTTTTGTTTTCAGCTTGGCTCAATCAGTAAAAATAATAATTCCACTGGGCATTCTATTGACGTACTCTCTACAGTTCTACATTGCGGTGGAAATTACGTGGCCAACTGTGTTGAATTTCATTGGACCAGTGAAGTATCCTGTAATGGCCGAACTAACTTTTAGATCTTTACTTGTATTAGTTACCTGTAAGTATTTTCATGACAATAATTTATTAAAAACATTTTAACTAAACAGCATTTATTAAAAAAAATCTAACTTCTCTATTATGAAATAAGAATATCTGTATCAAAGGTAGGTTAATGTATAAGAACAAAAAATATAATCTAATTTTGTATTTTAAGGTTGGAAAAATCTATTTTGACCAAAATAAATAAGTGGATTATTTGGAAGAGTGTGTTAATATGGTCATAAATAAATATAGGTATACTAAAAAATTGTTGAATATGGTTTAAATTAAGTTGAAGCTTTTGTACTTCTAATGACAAAACTTGTGCATACCTCTCGGCATACTTACTTTAAGTTAGATTATAAGAAAACAAACAATTTTTAGAGAAACTTGCTATGTGAATATATTTAATACTCCCATGACATGTGATTTATTAAAATTTTTAAAGTTATAATGATTTTTCGATGTAGATCAAGTTCAGTCAAAGCTTTTTAACTATTTGTATTGACAAAACTTTATGTAGGTACACTTTAAGCTGGATAAGAAAAACTACCACATTTTTAAATACCATATTATACAGTCTTTTAAATAATCCAAAATACTTATTTATTTATGTCAAAATAAATTTTTCAAACCTTAAAATTACAAAATTAGAGAAGCTTTATTTTTTTAATAAATGCTGTTTAGTTAAAATTATTTTATGGAGAAAACCAGATATTTGGACCAAATTCACAAAAATATTACTTATTTGGCACCATACACTTTAGAATTTCATTAAATGCAGTATTTATATTCTTAAATTCCTAAACCATACATTGTTATTGTAATGTTATAAAGATTTATACATTTTTATTAAAAAATTTTTAACGCCTAAACATAATATTATTTCTTTAGTTGACTATACTTTGACAGATACATAACCTGAAAAGCCTTAAATGCCAAATTTTCAAAAGACTGCGTTCCGTACGTGGTCACGTGGTGGGACTTTGAGGTGTGGAGCATAGTACATTGAATTCACCTGCACAGGTCATTTTTTTCGTGCAGTATTTTCACTTGTTTGAATATTGCTATACAGGTTGATTTTTTTAATATTTACTTTATTTTTTTAGTTGTTTTGGCGGAGGCTATCCCGTTCCTGGGCCTATTCATATCCTTGGTGGGAGCAGTAAGCAGTTCTGCGCTGGCGCTGCTGTTCCCCCCTCTACTAGAAATTGTGATAGACTACACTAGTGATAATTTGCGCGCGTCTTGCGTCATCAAAAACATTGTGATAATGTTGGTAGCCCTGTGCGGAATGGCCACTGGCGGCTACGAGAGCATACACTCAATCATTAACGCGTTCAGTGAACAAAGTCATTGAAATTGAAAGAAAAATAAAGACTGTTAGTCAAACAATTTGACACTAAAAGGGCGCTAGTGATGTTTTTTATAGGTTTTAATATTTTATTTATTCTGTACATGTGTATTATATAAACAAATCTCTTAACGTGCAGTATTTTATTGAATTTTATTTTTTTATTATTCTTGATAGTTTGTTTTTTATTTTTCCTATTAGGCAGTTAGATCTCTTAATTATTTTTAGTGAATTAAATTTAAGACGGAATAAAGAACAAATTATTTGTAAAATTGTTTTATTTTTTTTCGTCGCCGCCATTAATAAGTGTATGCAACAGTGAATGGGCACAACCTTTGGATGATTTTAATGAAAAAAGTCTACATCAACTTTATTTGGATTTTAATCACTTTATCCAACACATGAGTTATGACTGTCATTATTGTCATTTTAGACAAGTAAACTATCAAAGCAGAATTCACATTGATATTGAAATTTAAGAAAAACGCTAAAGGTTTATTCGAATTTGAAGTCATTGTAAAATTCGTTGGTTCATTGGAACCAGACGCTCCCATATCGGTACAGCTGCTGATAGTGCTGGAAGACGCCGACGCATTAGAACCTTGTATTTTTTCTGCAATTTGTATTTTGTCATGCAGCGATTCTTCTAGGTATCCTTCTGCTACCGTCGAGGACTTCCATCCTCCGTGACGCTCCAAAGTGTCATGTTAGCCCCTGCATTGGCCAAAAGAGTCGCCGAAGACCTTCTCAGGCAGTGACCGGAGTATAGCGCTGGTTCCTCCAATTTCAAAAACATTGCAATTCTTGAAGGTATCTTCGCCAACGTATTTATTCCCACACACCGGCTAGTACACCTTCCATTTTTGTAAAAAACAAAAAAGCGGCTAGAACTAGTATTCTTTGGTCTCAAAGATAATATCTTACATATTATGTATTTTTTACACAAATTAATCGGGTTGACGGGAAATCCTTCTTCAAGTATGGTGAAACTACTCAATTTCTTGGTTTTAGTGTCTAGCAAAACTACGTGAAAATATTTCCCTTTGCCTTGAATATTTTCTATTTTCCAATTGACCAATTCATCGCATCTACAAGCACCGCTAATCCCCATTATCAAAGCCACTTTCATCAACAGGTACTCGTCGTCGGGAGCTTCGTTCAAAAACTTCTCTCTATTTCAGGTCGTTCTAAAGTCTTGGACTTCTTTGGTTTGTATCCCCGTGATTTGCTTTTCAAAAAGCTCGTTAGGTTGCCAGATTTTGAAATGTCGATTTTTTTATAAAGGTGAATAGTCGAGCGAAGCATCGAGTATTTGGTCCATAGCGACGATGGGGCTAATTTTTTTTGCAAATGTAAAAAATAAGCCAATTGAACATTTTCATCGATACCTTTTATATTCCGTGAATTCATCCAAGACTCAAACATTTTGAACTCCTTGTCGTAAGCATCTCGGGACTTTTCTGGCAAAATCTGCATCGCTGCTTCTTCCGCTTACGTAAGGATATCCTCAGGAACGTAACTTTCATCGGTTTCCTCCATTTTCTATACGTTTTTTTCTTCAAAAAAGCTTTCCTTTTCTGCAGGGAAAACTGACAAGTGTCAAAATTTATTTAAACATTTTCTAACATGCTATCATGCCCGTGGCAACCAAACAAACAACCTACTTTGACCCAAAATGTAAAAAAGTCACTATCAAGTCATTCTGACATTTATAGGGTACTGAGACGCAAGTAGCTTTGATTTGATCACAAAGCTTATTAATTATTATTTCATAAAAAACGATTTCTTCCACTAGTTGGATAAAACATTGTATGCCACTCGTGTTTTATGTTTCCTAAATCACTGGAGAATTTATACCAATCTGCCTGACGGCCTCGTGGTATAAATCTTTCTCTCGTGACTTATTTTCAACATAACACACTAGTACAATAAATAACTATACTTTTTTATATTTGGTCAAAAAATATCAACTCTTGGTGATCTATTTTCAGTTCCCATTCATTTAACTTTTCAATGTACTTAAAACCTTGTGGAACAATTTGTCAAAATTTAAAATTCAAAATCTGTAAAATTTGATGTTGACATAATTTTGTAACGTCAGTATTTGGTTATTGAAAGTCTTACAAATTTTTTACTTTTTGTAATTTTTGTGTACAATTTAAAAAATGCCGAAAAAACCTAAAAAAGGCGAATATGAGCTCGGCCACAAATACTCTAAACCTGACCCGGAACGTTTGGGAATATTTTCGGAAATGCCATATCTCCAAGTTAAATATAAAGATCCTCTTGGTATAATGAAAAGTTCAAAGTAAATAGAGGTACCAAACTAGATAATTTTAAAATTTTAGTGTTTAACGATAAAGGCAAAAACTTCATCACAAATTCTTACAAATCTAAAACTGGTACTCAACATGGTTATTTCGATGATGAATTCAGAAGACTTTTCATTGGTGAAGCTATTAAGGGAGGACGAAAACCGTGTAGTAAAAAACTATAAAACAACTCTAAATTATTAACACTTTCAAAAGCCCTAAAACAATGCCAATTGTAAACCAAAAGCCTTTTATGCCCACCGGTGAGACAAAAATACATTCCACACCTGGTGATAACTTTGGAACCTTTACTAAAGAACAACAAGCGTTTAGTGCGTTACTCAAAAAACCGAAGAAAGGAACCGTCATACCAACAGGAAAAAATTTTGTCACTAAAAACCCCAAGAAAGGAGGACCTGGTTACAAGGATATATGCATTGGACCCTACCCTGCCGCGATGTAAATATTAAAGATAATACTTCATAAATAATTTTCAAATATATTTTTAGGAAACCTCCGAGGGCTAAGAAACCTCATCCACCTTACGGAAAGGTTCTAGATGGGCCTTTACACGTAAACATGTATCCAGAAGAATACTTCGACAAAAATCCATACCCGCTCCCTCCAAAAATGAAACCAGGACCGGAATATGTTAAACCGAATTACAAGGAGTTCCCGAAATTGGCACCGTACCATTGGACACCCATAGGACCCAACAAACTGGTAAGACTATTCACGGTGCTGTTCTGATAGGTGATTTTTGGACTTTCTGTGAAACATAATTTTTTTTTATATTCTTGTTAATTAGGTCATAACTAAAATTTTAATAGCAAAATAAAAAAAATTTGACGGTTAATTTTGTTTTAATTGGATGTTTATTAAAAATATGTATGCACACTTTCAATTCTCCAATTAAAACTTGCGATTTTATTTAAATATTATCATAACTTTTTAAATCAGATTAAAGATTAGTTAATTTCCTAAAAAAAGGTCTATACATTTTTTACATCTTTTACTGTTTTGTTGTAATACACGTTTAAAGTTTTAATTTAAGGTTAAATGTATAGTATACATTTATTAAACAATAATTGTAAGGGTGCCACATTTTATTTAGGGCCGATTTATTCATTTTTGATTTATTTGACGAATAATTTCTTTGGATACTAGATATTGCCAAGACATGAAAGTTATCGGCCCGATACACTTTACTAAAGATGAATAAACCGGTCCTTAGTTAAATTTCATGAATTTCTTCGTAACTTTTAGTACAATTTTTTATTTTTGTTTATAAAAAAAACTTAAAAAAACTAAACAAAAATTATAGAATACATATACTGAAAATGACAATTCAAACATTAAATAAATTTTTAATAGATCTAAGTTTCATGGCAACCTTTAAGGATATATTAATTAAGGGAACATAAATGTATACGTCAAAGGTTAGATTAAAAGTTTGAACGTTTATTGCAACAAAACAGTAAAATTTATAAAAAAAAAATTGTAAAAACCTTTTTTTTTAGTTATGCAAATATTAAATATTTAAATTAAATCGCTAGTTTTAACTGGATAATTGAAAGAGTGCATAATATTTTTAATAAACAGCCAATTAAAACAATTCAAACCGTCAAATTTTTTTTATTTTGCTCTTAAAATTTTAGTTATGACCTAATTAACAAGAATATAAAAAAAAATTAGGTTTCACAGAAAGTCCAAAAATCACCTCTCAGAACAGCACCGTGTATTATCATACTGCTGCTAATACATTAATTACATTATTTCCACCTGTGACTGTTGCTCGACGAATTTTTTTTTCGGTTGAACACTCCCGTTTGTAGTAAACTGCTTGACAGTACGGTGAAATGAAGTACGCGATCGAATTTTATCCGGAAAACGCTGAGCGTAGATATTAACAGCATCATCAAGAGTCCTGCCTACTTCTCCATAAATCAAAATCATTTCTATTTTTTCTTCCACTGTTAAAAAATCCTTTATGGATAACTGCTTAACTAAAGGAGGTCTTTTTGTTGGCAAATTAATCTTCGAACTAATTGATTAAATAATGCTAAACTATGTATAAATAGTTTCTTTATACCTCAATAATAATTGTTATTTATAACGAAATACCATTTTTTATACCTCAATTAGGATTAAATTAATTAATTTATAAAATAATGTTTCTTTTACCTTTTCTCTTTCAAATTTGATATAAAAAATTACGTTTTTATTTTTTTACGTTGGCAATATTAGCGATCAAAAGCTCAATTTTCTCTACAGTTTCCACTTTCTTAATTAAAAACGTATAGAAATGTACACATACCTTAATAAGATTGTAGTCTTTTTATTACTGTTTAAAAAATATATTTTGAGAAATATCATATGACAATAGTTCATGTATACACAAAAAAAACAAATTAAAAATGTATTGGGAAATATAATCCAGAATACAAATAATGTGTTGAATAACAAACTACCTTCCAATAATAACAGTAAAACTTAATTTATCGTAATATTTAAATCTTATACCTTCAGTTGATTTTCGAAATGGTTTTCTTTCTTCCAAACAAATTGAATGCTTTGCTAATTCCCAGTTTTCTATATCAGGATAGTTTGTTATAACTACCCTATATTTATACATGTTGGGATTATCACTTGAACAAATTAATTCTACTTGCCAATTCATGGATTCATCAAAATAATAATAGGATATCCTAAATAATTTTGAATCAAATAAGGTCCATTTTTGAGTTTCTTTTTTAAACCTCGTGTAAGATATTTCCGAAAACTTCTCATATTCCATACTCTTATGTTCACTATTTAAATGTTCCAAAATAAAATTGTAGTCTCCGGAATTTGTGCAACCCATTGGGCATTGATAAATAAAAAAGGAACACGTTTCCTCGTGTTTTTTTATTCCATCAACAAAGTCCTCTTCTTTACAGCCATCAAACTTGCATGGATATTTTACCTTTGCCATCAAATTTTCTATTAAGTAATTTCTCGAATTAGTCCATTCTCCCTCACATGTGGGGCAATACCGTACTTTTTCACAGCAAAAGTGACAGATACTGTGTCCCTTGGTGCAGTTATAAATGGGGGGCCTCATAATATTCATACACACAGGGCATTCCAATAGTTTTAACGTATGTTTATCAATTTCCCCTGGATGCAGATTAAATTCATTTCTTACCATATTTTCGCCTGCAATCTTTTCTAAAATGCCAATATCTACTCCAGTGGCATTGGGGTTCTTATCTAGACATCTTTCATTATAAATGCCATTCAATTGGGTGATGGTACCATCAGTTTTTACAAAAGTGTTGTTTGGAGTTTGAGTACTCCTGTGTTTTACTATATATTCAACATTTTCTTCGAAATGATCAATTGGACTTAAAGCATAATAAAATTTATTATCAACAACCGATGTGTTTAAAAGGTAGTTTTTTTGACCATCAAAAAATAATTTAACACTGGGTTCTACTAAGGATGTGTCTACAATAAAAATATTGTATTCACTTTTAATAATGTGTTCTTTATGCTCCTTCCGAATATGTTCGCTTATTTCTGAATTGGATCCATTCCATTTACATTCTTCGTAGTTAACCATTGGACACGATTTTATTTTATATTTGCAACTTGCGACATGCTTGTGATAATTGTTAGACGGCACCCTTTTATTACAACCTTTATATTGGAATTTACATGGTAATAGCATAAGTTTTTTTAAAATTAAGACAAGGGCCGTATTTAATTCTGCCCTCGATTTTATCTCTTCTCCACACTTATCTTCAATACAGTTTACACAAACATTTCCTTTACCTTTTACCAGGAAAATATCGGAGGTGCAAAGTTCATCGCAAATCTGGCAGTGAAATATTTTCGCCTCCAAAAGATCATCAGTAAATTGAATCATTGTTTCGTTTGCCATATTGCCCTAATAAAATAACGTTAATATAATAATAATTTTTTTATTAAAACAACTTACCTACCAGAAAAATAGCACAGTTTAAAAGTAAATTATAAATGAAAATAATATTTTTGATTTGAGGTTAAATCATACACAACCAGAGATAAAGAACAAACTATAAGATAACTGTTATCTGATAACAAACCAGTGATGCCAGATCGTTTTTTTATTTGTTCAGTATAAAATCACAATCCACATAATGTAAAAATCAGTAGAGATTAGTAGTTTTAAGAAATCTTGCTAAAAATATTTTATTGAAATAAACATTTTATTAGTGAGCTGCTTTGATTAAATTTGAATAATATTTTTTTAAATAATATAAAACATGTAGGTACTTACAGTTAATTCTTTTTTATTAAGTTGGTAGCTTATGCCAGTTTGATGTAGTAGGTACTTTTAGTATTTTTAGTATTTTACTTCTGCTGAAGACCTTAATTAAATACTCTGATACTGTCAAATTGACAGTAATATTTTTTATTGATAATTTACTTATTATCACAATCCACACAACAAGGTCTGTTCTATCTCGTACTAAAAATACAAAAAATCACTGCAAAACTAGTTTTGCAGTGATTTTTTGTATTTTTGCAGCTGCACAGTTTAACGGCGGCCATTTTTGTTGTTTACAATTTTTGTGCTTTGGGTTTGTGCTCTTTTTATACAGATTAATAATCGTTTTAAACGTTGTGTTTCTCATAGTAAGCCCTAAAAGAGTCCTTAAAGTGCTAAGAACAACCATTTTACTCCTCTATTGTAAAAAATAAACTTTATTATTTATCAGGGCTGTTATAAAACTGTCAAATGTCAATTTTAAGGTTAAATTGTAACCCACAAATTAACCTACAAATTGTCATTTGACAGCCCTGATAGAATACGGTATATGTATTATAAAAGAGGAGTAAAATGGTTGTCCTTAGCACTTAAAGGCCTTATTTGAGGCTTACAAGTGCCTCTGTAAGAAACACAACGTTTAAAACAATTATTAAACAGCACAAACCCAAAGAATTGTAAACAACAAAAATGGCCGCCGTTAAACTCTGTGCAGTGTTGCAGTGATTTTTTGTATTTTTAGCATGAGATAGAACAGACCTTGTTGTGTGGATTGTGCTTATTATATAGTATCGATATAAAAAGATAACTATGCCAAATATATTATCTGATTCTAAAGTAAAAGAACTTTTATCCGAAATCGGCAGTAAAGTAGAACTTTACTGCCGATTTAATACGGGTATTGTATGCAACCCATAATACATTTTAAGATGTGTCTACTGCTTTGATTTAATCATATATTATATCACGAGAACTATAAATTTAATCGGTAAACTAGGCTCAGTAGTTTTTTGTTTGGTTTTTCTGTGTTGAATGCAAAATAATTCAATAAAATCACGAGACGGCATTTTTAATTATTTTGCATGAAACTATTTTCCAAAAAGAAAAATCAAATAAAAAACTTACTGAGCATAGTTTGACAGATTAAATTTATAGGTTGAGTGATAAACCTCTAGATTATTTCTCGAATTAAAGGAAACTATTTGACAATTCATAAAATCTGACGTATGTGTCAAAATTTATAAATATTTTTTTTAAGAAAATTCCATTAATTTAAGGTATGTAATAAGTAATAATTGATATTTCGTAAACTAGAAACTTATTTTTTATTGTTTTTTAAAAAATGTTTGTTAAAACTTGTAAATAACACCATAAAATCGTAAACAAAAATCCAATATGGAGGCTAAAATTTAATCGCTGTTAAATAGTTCTAGTGATTTAATCGCTTATTTAAACGAAATTTATTCGAAAATTCAAGGCTTTTGATTGGTTCATATTATAATGAGGGAAATAATCTCTGTTATTAACTAAGATACACTTTTTAAAGCCAACTCCTATAATAAAGATGACTTCGACCATATTTAATTTATGCTGGGCTATAGACTTTTTTGTCCATGAAAAAACCCTTGTTTCAACACTTTCAACAAATAAAAATGACATTTTTTTTATGAAAAACTATATTATAATATAGTTTTTCATAAAATTATATAATTATATAATTATAATGAGCAACTTTCTAACAAATAAAATTTGTTTCAGAAAGCAAAAGAGCTATTTTCAACATTTGCAGCACCAGCCAAAGATCCTTATGTCAGCGAATATGACGCTGATAAAATTTTATCGAAGAAATACAAATCCAAAAATCTGTACGGCTTCTGGTGCCCTCAATCCATGGCTGAAAAAACTATGTACACTATATCAACCATACCTGCTAACGCCTTCAGAGTCACAGTTGACAAGTACGCCACTGCAGAACCGCAATACACTAAATATTTGTTGTAGGTAAATAAAACATTTTTTTAATACTTTATTATCATTTTATTAACATAACATCAACTATATATTTCGTCTGTTCAGTGTGGACGCTAACAATAAAACTACTTGAAGTGTAAGCAGCAGAAATCTAGTGAAGGGGGGCAAGATATTATTATTTCAAGAATATAACACTGATAGTTTTACAAACTTTTTTTTCCTAACATTAAGTACTCCAGCTTAATTTAACTAATTTTGGGCTGCTGGTTTCAAAAATGTAATTTGTTTTTCTCTAGGATGTCTAGGATTTAAAATAATTTCGTAATAAAATGCTCAATCAATCTTGAATGTACTAAAGTAATTGGTATACGGCAAATAGATCATATTTATCTTAACAATATGACATTTTGAATACTAAAACTAAAATTTTAATGTATTTTATGTAAAAAAAAACAACCATTATTTGACATTTTTTGTCGTTTATTTTAATTATTAAATTGAAAGGGCAACAAAGTAAACAAGTTTTAGTATTTTTTATCCAAATTAAGCCCTTAAAATTTAATGCATTGCATAATTTTGCTTTTTTCTACCTTAAATTTATTAAATCGTATCAATATCAAATTGGATTATAGTATTATTGTGCTATTGTCCTCATCATCGTCGTACATCTTTTGCTGCAAATTCCAGCAAATGTCTCCTAGCAATGAATCCAACTTCTTTCCGCTATACCCATAGATATCTACCAAAGCTCTAGATTTGCAATTACTTGGTGAAATCGTTCTCTATGTTCATCAGTTCGGCAAATTTATCAGGAATACAAAAAAGAAAATATATTTTAAATGACATATTAACGCTAATTCTTTGCAAAACGGAAAGCATTTTTTCAATGAATTGGCGCCAATTTTAGGCCCGATATGAACCAGGAACATTTTCAATGACAGCTTTAACACTGCCATATGCGACAAGCTCGTCAACTTTGAGAGCATTTTTGAATGCTTGATCTTTCATTAAATGTCGTACATCAAGTCCATTTAATATTCCTGCAAAATTAAAGTAGTAGGTATATCTCATAAAATTTTGTAATGAAATATTGCGTTGGTTTTTCTTGGGCGTAAAGGTACCGCAACAAAAACAAAACTAATTTACAACGACGACATAAATGTTCGTCTCCTTTCTCTTTCTCTGCCACTTCCATTACCACTTCCATTTCCTGCTCTTTTTTCATTTTTGGTTCTTAAAATCACTTTCAAGTAAAAATACAATTTAAAGTTTAAATTTTAAATGTCAATAATTAATAGATGCACTTTAGTGTGATTGAACGATAAAGTAGATAAAGGCGCCTTTATACTTAAATTCGATGTTAAATTTTGATAAGACTTAATAAATAAGATTCGAGATTAAATTTTTGGGTACTTTGGGCATGATGTGAATAAAAACATATCAAATAATAGTCGAAGAGTAATGCTTATACCGAAACCCATTTACTTTGTTGCCTTTTCAATGTAATTAGTAATTAAAAAACGACTCAAAAATTTCAAAAAATGATTTTTTTTTTACCAAAAAACATTATAATTTTAGTTTTGGTATTTAATACAGCACTTCTCTGCAGAAAAGTGCTTTATTAAATATCCCTACTACTACTACTATAGTATACGGTTACAATGGAACAAACAAAATTTCTATTTGACATTTTATCTACCGATGACTTTGTATGGAGTCCCTGTATATATTTGACAAAAAACGTCAAAAATATACTGAACATCCAAAATAGATTTAAGGCAAAATAATTTAATAAATAACGAAAATATTAACGAAAAACTTACATTTTGAGATAATTGGGCAGAGCATTTTATTAGGCAATTATTTCGAATCCTAGACGTCCTGGAGCAAAACGAGTGGCATTTTTGAAATGAGCAGCCCAAAATTAGGTAATATAGGTGGGCGTACTCAATGTTAGTAAATCGAACTATCATAGTGTAATCAAAAAACTGCATTCAATCCGTGAGGTGGCCAAAAACTGTTACCCAGCTTTAGCGACAAAAAACAAAAATTGCTACCTATATTAGTGGATATCATTTATATACATATACAGCAAATCTACGTATCAATCTCGAATCTACAATCCTGAGGGAGGGATTGAGAGGAAAAGTACTTTTACACGAATGAGGCGTCTCAAAACAAATTAAAAACATCGCAGAATTTATAAAATTCAAATAAAAATCGTTTTGTCGTTTCAACTAAAAATCCGAATATGGGTTATCAAAAGTAACAGGTTTGTAGGTTTTGCTCTGTCCCCAGCCTCTAGCGGCTGTGTTGTAATTCTGCATGCAATTAAAGTTGATCCTGGTGGGAGGAACGGGGGGGTTTTGCGATGTGTAGTACGGTTCTGGTACCGGGCTGGTACCATGGTACGATGGTTCGGGCATGGAGCTTTGCTGGGCGTTGTACGATGGGTGTATGTGAGAAGATACAGGTGTGGTGCTCTCTTTAGGTACGAAGATTGGTGGGGTAACATCCGGCCTGTAGCTTGGAGATAGGGGTGCTTTTGGTTTGCTTCTTGGGAGAGTGTTCGAGTCTAAAAGTGATAAAATACTCTAGCAACCAGTACTTTGACAATATAATTCGCTTCATGTAAGATAAGGTAAACCGCATAGTTATTGGACACTTATGATTGGTATCTCTAGTTTGTGAAGCATTTATAATGTTTAGGCCGGAACAGGATGATTTATATATATTTAATATTTTTTCGGGTGGTATGTTAAAAGTATTTTCTGAATTTATTAATTTTGTCGCCTTTAGTTTTTTATGTTCTCTATCATGCACTGTATTCAAATTACTGTTATTCTGCAAGATGTCCTGTGACGAAGAAATCACTATATTACTTACTCTATAAAAATGAATTAGTCAAAAATGCCATAGCGAAAAAGCAGCCACTAATAATTCTCGTCAACAGCAATTTGTATCTAGGACATTTAGCCAATTCCTGTGAAATATTATTCGCTGAATCCGAAAATGTCATCAAAAGTTATAAAAGTTTTTGAAATATAATCAATTTTACATATAATATGGAATTGACTAAACTGCTTAACTTTTATAGTTTTTCACGGTCTTTTCGGATTCAGGGGACAATTTTACATAAGAATTGGCTAATAAATGCCCGGGATACAGAGTATGATATTGGACTTACGTCCAATAATAAAAATTTACATTTTTTACCAACCAGTAATTGGACACTGGCCATTTTAATGTTTGTTTTCAGAAACAAAATTAAAACGAATTATAGTGACAATGTTAAAACCATGAGAAACAGATTTATACCACACACTGATCTGTAAACTTTTTAGAAATATTTTTTATTGTAATTTAAACACAGCCCTGCTTTTAACAAAAAAAACAAAAATCTTACCACCAAAGTAACGTGCGAACTTTTTTGTCCTATATTGTACCCAAAATAAATTAGTTCTATATTATTACCGACTGAGATATTTATAATTGTATACAGAGTCATCTAATGATTGGACTTTAAGGTAACTATTTATAGAACTCTTGTTTTTACAGTATTAATATTAATTGTCCAATCCATCTAATTATTGGACTTTAAGGTAACTATTTATAGAACTCTTGTTTTTACAGTATTAATATTAATTGTCCAATAACTATAAAGTGTCCAACAACTGTCTACTTTACCCTATATCATTCTATTCAAATCTGGTAAGTTGCTCTTTCCAAGTAAGTAGTAATATTTTACATTTTGATGATTAACAGTTTGGATAATTTCCACCCAGAGAACCAAGGTTTTGGAAAGAAATTAGTCAACTTTTTAACAACTAAGTTTGGTGTATAATATTTTAAATTAATTGGGGTTTATTTGTACATGTAACAGTGCGGAAAAATTATTTTGCGCATGTGTTAGGAATAAATGCAAATGCGCGCGGAAAAGTGCAACTTTGCGCACGTGTTCAAAAATGTTGCAATTGGAAAAACAAAACCAACTAAAAATCCAAACCACATCCACAAAAAACATACAGAAAAGCTTGCCTTGCACTATCGGCTGCGTGTTGTTTTTTTGCACAGGTTGAAAAGCTGAAGGATAAGCTTGGATTAAAGGTTTAGAAGGATAAGTGCAAAATGAACTATTTTCGGACCGAGTTATGCTGTTACTGCTTTGACTTGCTTCACTATAATTGCTCTCGACTTTTGAGTTCGCAACGTAGAACAAATTATCGAAGTCCTTTTCTGCTTTTTGCAGCATTATTTCTTGCTTTTGGGCTTGAAGTGATTTTTGCTGGTATTGTTCCACAGAAAACGTGATGTTTTCTTTCATTTTGGGGTTTATTTTTTCAACCACGTCTGGCAGATTTTCGCGCACCTGTTTGTACTTCATTGCTGGCATCGAGCACTGCTCGAAATTTTTGATTAAGTTTTTCACAGGTATTTTCTTGTACTCTTCTTCATCTTCAGATGTATTTGAGTCATTTTTCTGCACCTTCTGATATGGTTCATTCCTTCCCAAACTCTCCTTCTTATCTTGCTTCACAGTTGGCTCAGGCATGCTCATTTGATACTGAGACAAACTCTGCATTATTTGGTTTTGATCGAGAGCTTCTGGAAGCTGCCGAGCCATTATTTCCGGTATATCGTGCTCGCTAAAGTTCAGCGGCACATAATTCCTCACAATCGAACCATCAGGCATTATGTATTCCTCTTCAACCCGTTGAAAATCGATGTGATATTCCCTTTCCTGTTGATAGTAAATTTTCTCAATCTCTTCATTGTCATTCGGCCTGAATATTTCCACATGAGCAGTCTCGTTCGTTTGATACTGAGTTGATAATTTCGAATCCTTCGTGAACTCTTCATTGCTTCCACTTTCAGTTTTTTCTATTTTTATTCTTGGCTCAGGCCCTGGGGTGTGTTCCACGTTTTTATTTACCTCTCTTGACCGTTTACCTTGTATTGACTTTTGACGACCTACAAGCGCTTTTTTAAATTCGCTGTTTATGTCGGTTTGCCCAAATAAAGGCCTAGCGCCTATGATATTCTCTGGGGCTTTCTTACATATTTTCGGTTCTATTTCCATCATTATTCCCTGCTGTCTTCTGTTGTTCGGTTTCACTGTTATTTTAGTGAGGGATTCTTCTTTTTCTGGGGATTCTTCTGGCGTAGTTTTTTGTTCAATACTTTCCATCATTATTCCTTGCTGTCTTCTGATGTTTGGTTTTGCTGTTACTTTAGTGAGGGATTCTTCTTTTTCTGAGTATTGTTCCTTTTCTGGTGATTTCTCTGGGGATTTTTCTGGTGATGTTTTTTGTTCAATGTTGGCTTCAACCAACTGTTGTAAATCTTCTTTTATAGTTTCATAACTTTGCTCTATTTTTTCCCATTTAGATTCTTGATTTACATCAGTTTTTAATGATTCAACTATATTGCAAGTCATTTCCACTTGTTCCATGATTTCTTCGTATTTTTCCTCCATTTTTTCTTCTTGTACGCCTTGAAACTCCACTGGAGGGGTAAAAATCTCTTTTCGTTCACTAGCAACAATCAAAGATGACATTTCTTGCAGTTCCTCGCTTTTAACATCAATACCCTCTCTGACTTTTTTCATATCCCTTAAAATACTATTAATCTCATTGTCTTCCTGCGTAACTAGGTTGCCTTTTTTAACATAGTGCGAATCTACTTGTCTGTATGCGTCTTTAATGTCTGCAAACTCTGTGAAGCAACCTTTTTGATGCATCAACACATCAACTTTTTCTTTACTGGACAGAATCAGTTGCTTCATTTGCTCCTCGAATTTTGGATCTTTAGGGTCGTGTTTTTCGACTACAATAAGTTGTTTTGGTTCTTTTGGTTCATCGGGTTCTTTTTTGGGTTTATCGTAATCCTCCAGGTGGTCTTTAGGCACGAATATTCTTGGCGATAGCGCTCTGGATGCGTTGAAATGGCCTTGGCTTTCGAATATTTCTGATTGCAGGGTTCTCAAGTTTTGTTGGGTTGAACTTGAGAATGCGTTTTCCACCACTTTATGATCTGCTATTGCGTAGTTAAATTCAGGCTTTATCGGCTGTGTTACGTAGTTATCTAACGGTGTTTTCATATCGTACTTCTTTTCCAGAGTCACAGGCTCGAACATTTTGTTCGGTATTGGTTTGAATAGGTTTGATTCTGAAGGTGATTTTAGGTATTTCGATATATTTGGTATGGTTGGAAACGGTATTTTTTCGTCAGTGTCGTCTTTGGGTTTTAAATCTTTTTTTTCATCATCATCATCGAAAGGTACCACTGATGGTATGCGAAAAGGTACTGGACTTGTTCTGAGGGTAACAACATCTTGCTCAACCAATTCGGGGTTCAATTTTATATCTGCAATAGCCGGAAAGGGTGAGGAAGGTCTTATGGCAGACTCAATTTTTTTGTTCTTTTGAAACCTTTCCACATCACCTTCCAAAACCTCGCCCTCCAACTGAACATCAGGTATGATGGGAAAAGGAGAGCTAGCTCTCTCGGCTCTTTTTTGAGCCAACAGCTCTTCTTGCTGCTTTTTAAGGTCAACTTTGGGTTCCAAGAATGATGGCGTAACAGGTCGGATAACTTTATTGTCGGTTTTGGTTTCGTTCAATATGTCGGGGTTTGTGGTTATGTCAGGGATATTGGGAAAAGGGGAGGTGGGGCGTTCTTCTTTTTGCGGGAGATGAGCTTTGATGATGTTAGATATCGCTAGATTGATGCTGCCTGGTGAGAAATAAGCGGTTAATATCAAGCAGAAGCGTTTAAGTAAAAATGCGCACATAGTAGATATAACTGTTTTAAAATTTCAACATGAGGTGGGATATAACTGGCAACCCTATTGGTCACATCGCACACTAGTCCAAATCGGGCTTGACCTTGGCCAAAACCCTAAAAATAAGTTTAATAATTAAGCAATTATTTAAATCCGCAGTCCTATTTTAGCCCTTTTTTCAATCGGTTGAACAGTTCTTGTGTTTATTTTGATTGCATAACAAAAGTTAAATTTTAACATTTTAAAATGGAAAATGTTTATGAAGGTATATACCAGTGGCGGCTCGTCGTATAAAGCAACTGAGGCCGGGCCTCACATGTTAAAATTATAATATAATTTGAAATGTTGAATACATTACTTTATTATTTAAATATAAAACGTTTTTAAACTAATTTCCAGTCATTGAAAGTATCAAAACATCGAATAACCTATAAATTTAGCGCGCACCCCTTCCAACTTTAATTCTAAACGCCCGACTGCATAATAGGGAAATAGTAATCCCAGAAATTTACGCTTCATATACGTCACAAAATCATGCTTCACACCCGTGCAGCGGCCGCCGGCACCCCCGCAAGGCGTTGATAATACGCGAATTTTTGTAGACATTGAGGCCCACAAAGTTGGGCTTGTACCACAGTATATGGAAGACAGCAGAGTCAGTCCCGAGATCTGTGCGGCTCGCTTGTCAGCCGTTGTAAAAGACTGGGCGGGCGTGGAATGTTTTAGTAAACAAAGCTTATTAATTAGATCTATGCGTGTTTATAGTTTCTTATTTCTGTTTAGTCTGCCTTAGCGTTAAAATGGAAAGTGGTGATAAAAATGCAAGCGTAAAATATAAATAAAAATATTCATGTTTTTTATAGTTTAGTGTTAAATCGTTGAGTTTCATATACCTACTGTGCTTGTACAATATTATTTTGTTGTTGTGCGGTTGTGCACTTAATTTTCAAAAAAAAAGTATTTTATTTCTTAAAAGTTATATTAACATGATCTTGAAATTTTTTCGATAATTAATTTAAGTTGTGGTTCTTTGCAAAAGATGTTTTTTTACGGGAAAATGTTTATTAAACTGTCTATTATTAGTTTCTTGAAAAATCGACTGCACAAACTTGCCCGAAAATTAATAAAACCACTCTCTAAAAATGAGTTAGTCAAAAATGACTAATTACTACAGTAATTAGTGGCTGCTTTTCCCTTGTACCATGGTTAACTATAGACCAATAGCTCTGTTGTCAAACTTTGCAAAGGTATTTGAATCTTCCGTCTACACAATTATTTACAATTATATCAAAAATATTATCTCTTCCCAACAACACGGTTTTATGAGCAAGCGTTCTACACTGACTAACCTTGCCGAATTCTCTCAGTTTACCTCCACACATCTCGATTCCAAATGCCAAGTTGATGTAGTTTACACGGATTTTTCAAAGGCCTTAAGGTTAACCACGGGATTTTATTGAAGAAACTGGGGAACTTCGGATTTAGTCACTCTTTAATACAGTTAATCAAATCTTATCTTTATAATAGAAAATTATTTGTTTGCTATAATGGATTCAATTCAAACTATTTTGTTGCTACTTCTGGAGTTCCTCAAGGATCCAACTTAGGACCTCTTTTGTTTAATATTTTTATTAATGACTTATCTTTAGCTCTGTCTTGTCAACACTTACTTTTTGCTGATGACTTAAAACTTTTTCATAAAATATCCAGTACACAAGATAGTTTTTACCTTCAAGAGCAATTGGACACAGTAGCTAATTGGTGCAATTTAAATGAGCTGTCACTTAACATTAACAAGTGCAAAATATGTACTTTTACCCTTAAAGCTTTGCCTATTGTCTTTGATTATTTTATTAATAACTCTATCCTTTCTCGCACTGATACAATCAAGGACCTAGGTGTCGTTTTTGACAGTAAACTTTCATTTAACGCTCATATTCAAAGTATATCCTCTTCCACTCTTAAACTTCTGGGTTTCATAAATCGTAACACATCTACTTTTAAAAATATCACAGCTCTAAACGCACTATATTGCCAACTTATTCGTTCTAGACTAGAATACTGCTCCATCATTTGGTACCCATGCTATCAATCTCAAATAAATATACTTGAAAATATAAGACGTTACCTCAAGCTGATTTCCTATCGTACAGATAGAGTCTACCCCCCCCCCGTGGTATTGATCATAGCATTTTACTCGCACGGTTCCATTTTAATCCATTACATGTTAGAAGACAAGTTTCAAGCATTAAGTTTCTTTTTAAGTTGTTTAATAACAGGATCGATTCTCCTAGTCTCCTGTCGCAAATAAACATTTTTGTAACAAGATTGGGTTTACGATCAGAGACTTTATTTTATAACACAAACGCTAGAACAAATATTTTAATTAAGTCCCCAATACATGTTATGTGTCAAAATTTTAACCAAATTTGTAATTTATGTGATTTGTTTAATGATGGTTTTAGAAGTGTATCTAATACAGCCATGTTATTTTTTTCCCTTAATACTTAAAACTTATATTTGTTATTGTTTTGTTAATTTGAGGAATAGGTAAATGATTTATTTTTTGTTATTATAAACACTTAATGGTGTTGTTATTACATATTATGTTGTCCTGTAATTGGAATTATGTATTCTGTTGGGCAATAAATGTTATTATTATTATTATTATTATTAACCATGGGATGCCATAGTATCCCAAAATTCTTATGTAAAATTGTCCCCTGAATCCGAAAATACTGTCAAAAATAATGAAAGTAGAGCAGTTTTTGAGATATAGTCAATTCCATATTAAACTGTTTTACTTTTTTTAACTTTTAACAATGTTCGGGATACAAATTGCTGTTGACGAGAATTATTAGTGGCTGCTTTTTCGCTATGACATTTTTGACTAATTCATTTTTAGAGAGCCCATAAACACGCCCAAATGGGCTCAAAAATAAATTGTAATAAATTCTTAACAACAAGTTTATTTATAAATAATGAAAAGATCGATGAAATAAAATATTTAGGAGTCATTCTTTATTCTCAATTAAATTTAAGAAACCATATAAATTTCTTATGTAAAAAAATTGGATATTTTTACAGAAATTCTCAAAAGTTATCTCTTTGAACTAAAAAGTTAGTTTATCTATTTTGCGTTCATAATGACTTCATAACACCGCTTTCGCTGCTGTAATGAGATACTTTATCCCACCCAAAATTTTATAGGTTGGCTATACTTTAAACAGCATAATATTTTGCATATTACTTATAATATTTTTATGATTTTTCTAGTACTGACGAGAGTTTTCTGGCAATAAATTTTGTTTAACACCAAAGAAAATCCTTTTTTTCTTCTTTAACATTAACAGCCGCTTATTGTAAATAAGTAAATTAAGGACGGCATGGCGAATCGATTTTGATATTAACTGTCAAACCAATGACTGTGATACCAACTATCTAAAGTAAAATTTGACCAAATTAAATTTAATGTATAAAAATAATTTTTTTATAGAATTTTTGCAAAATAGATAAAAATAATAAGATAAAATTGTCAAGTCCACATAATATTTTGGTTTAATTTTTTTTAGCCTTTATATTTTAATTTTATTTTAAAAATTATTTTAAATCAGGAATAATGAATAGTAAAGATGGGATATTTAGGTACTAAAAACTGAAAAATAGGTAACTAAAAAGGTACTTAAAAAAAACATTTTAGGTTAAAAAAAACAGCATTTTAGGTAAAAAAAAAACATTAAAAGTTCAAGTTTTGTTTATAATTTTGTTTAGCCGCATACCCAACCACAGAACATACCCACAATAAACTATTTCTATGCAATAAATTGTGTTTCACTGAGTGACACTCACTACACAGAAGTTCTATGACAGAACATAAGCTCACTACAACGAAGGTAACTGTAAATAAAGTTACTGTTACAGTCTGTAACCATAAGAAAAAATTATATACCGTTGAGTTGCACGCCCTTGATAAAATATTGGCGCAAAATTTAAAGAACACAAAAAATAAAATAAGTAATAATACGTAAAAATAGGAAACAAATATGTGAAAATAAACTGAAAAATTAAAAAATATGTAACAAAAGTATAAAAAGGTTGTTTAAAGCAAAAACCTCTAAAAAAGGTAAAAAAGGTGAAAACAAGTTAAATAAAATAGGTAACAAAAGTATAAAAAAGGTAGTTTAAAGCAAAAACCTCCAAAAAAGGTAAAAAAGGTGAAAACAAGTTAGGTTCATATAAAAGAAAATCTTTTAAAACACATTCTGGCATTATTGGTTTTCAAATAGGTTCATCGGTTGAAAAAAGGTAAAATAACTAAAATCCCATCCCTAGTAATCAGCGACCCCAAAAACCCTAAGGCCCGGTTTTTCAATATTGCATTTAATTAGCACTTTCGTAAGTTACAGTTATATTTAACTAGCGGCAAATTGTTAGTTAAATTGCAATCTGTTTTTTCACGCATGTTGAAGCATTAGTTACAGAATCACAACTTTTGACATATTTTTGTCAGGTTGGTATAGAATTTTACCGGAAATCGCCAAATATAACCTTATTTGCGCTGTCAAAAGTAAAAAAAAATTAAAAAAAAATCAATGTGTTTTTTCCTAATAAAAATTATTTTTTAAACATAATAATTTTAGAGAAAATAGAAGTAATAGATATTGGAAGGTAGTATCCTGGATCTTCTTTACTACCTTTTTTGTATATAGGAAGTAGATATTTTACATTTTTCAGGAAAATTAAAAGATGTTATTTATTCATCTGAGTAAGGTTTCTTTTATGTTAGGATAAATCTCTTTAATATCTTTAGTAGTAATATTACCATCAAATGAGTTATTATAGTTCAAAGATGCGATAACTTTTCCTAATTCACTCATTACAAGCTCCCTAGGGGACATAAAAATAGTTTTATTATTTGTAACTTCTTCAAATGTTATATCAGGTATTATTATATCTTTTGCAGTTCTTTAGCAACTTCAGTACAGAATTTAATATAGATATTAGCTATTTCTTTACTCTTGTATTCTTATTTTTGTATTTAGTCTATCTTATTATTTGTTTTTCTAGTTAATATAAATTATTTCATCTATAGTTTTCCATATTTTTTTCACATTCCTTTCTGGTAAAAACAAATTTTTGTTTAATAAATTCATATTTAAAATTGGCACAATATTAAATGTATTTTTAGGTTAACCACAACTTTACTAATACAAGAAGTTGTAGTTACGGAAACTCAAACATAATCTGCACTTTGATAAATAACTACCAATTGTAAAACACAAAAACAAATTAACTACCAATTAAGTAGCAATTTAATTTTAACTAGAGATTACCAATTTTTACATTATTATGTTCACTTTTCGAGTTTTGGCCGAAGAATGAGTCGATTTGGACCAGTGTGCGTCGATAAAAAACTTGTACATCACTTACTAAATTGTTGCTGTTTGGGAGCCCCGGTGACGTTCCAAGCCTGCGGCAAGGTGGGCTTGTACACGTCCACATTGGTGACCCCTTTCTGCAGGTTGTCCACGATCCTGTTGATGGAGTTGCTGTTGTAGGCGGGGTTGTGCGCGAACACCTTGTCGTGCCCGTTCGTCTTGGGGCCCGTCCACGACGCCAGCGTGTCGCTTTTGAGTGCCGCTTCGTAGGAGTTCACTGCGGGCGCCACCAGGTTGCCTCTGGTAGGCCACTGCGGCTCCTCAACGAACGCGCCGTCCACCGAGCCGGTCTCCAACGCCGCGTCCCACGGCGATTTTATTAGTTTTACGCGCGGGCGCGTGAATTTCTCCTAAAAAATTGTATTTTCGTAAGTAATATCATAAGGGCATCTAATTTTTTCAAAAAAAAATCGAAAAAAACACGTTGCTAAGTAATATTTTAACAATAAGCATGAGTGCTGGTGGCAACAAAAATCCGAGTCGAAGAGGAGGATTTTTGCACCTGCACGAATGCTTTTTGTTAAAAAATATTACTTAGCATTGTGTTTTTTCGATTTTTTTCACAGGAAAAATTAGATGCCCGAATGGTATTTGACAAGACTATTTCATGAGACAGTTAACAATTAAAATATAAATTGCAATTTTTGGTGACAACAGCTGTCAAGTTTTGCCGCGGGTAAACTCGAATAAACTGCTGACAGGTGCTGTCACACAGTTTTTTCACCTTGAAACCATTTGTAATTCAAAATTGCGCGTTTGTGATTGGTGGAAATTAAGACGAGGGAAATAGTCAGATTAATTGATTGAATTGAATTGCTTTTAGAAATTAATTATATATATCATGTTTGCAAGGGCTACCGAGAAGATTACCACAAACACTCAATAAAGATATAAAAAATAATAAGAAAAAAGTAGTTTAAGAAAAACAAAAATGATAAATGTAAAATGTAATTGAAAAAAATACTAACTAAAAAAATAATCGAAAGCAAACTGAAAAAAACATCGTAGATTAAAAAAAAGAAATAGCAATGTTTTTATCGGTATATTTATAGGCCTATAAAAATAATAAAAAAATAATAAATTGGTATTTTTCAAAATAAATTTTAAAAATTTTGGGAGAATTTTTTTAAATATAAATTTAGGAAAAATACAAATTTTCTGTGTTTTTTTTAATTTTATGGTACAATTAGAAGACGGGAGGTGAAAAGGGGCAAAACAAGGCAAATGGGGTACCCAAAAAATAAGCATATGAAAAGTTTTAGACCCCGTCATCTTCCGTATTGTACCATAAAATTTAAAAAAACAGAAAATTTGATGTTAATCAAAATAATCAAATAACTCTAGAAGAAATCAATTTATCGAAAAATAATAAGAGACCTTTTTTGTAGAGCGTTACATTTTATATAGAAACTGTAATGATCATTGCCATAAGTTACTTTGATACAGAGGTATAAAATTCCAAACATAATAGTATATTATGTATCAAGTTTGATAAACACCATTTTATACACGAATTTAATTTAGGCACGAGCGAGTGCTTAAATTAATGAGTGTATAGAAAAGTTTATAAACGAGGTGCATATACTATACTTTTTCTACGACAATTATTATAATCTTAAAATGATTTAAATAAAATATTTGTATAGAGTGCCATCTATAAAACAATTGGGGAATCTGTGTGTCACCGTCAAATGACAAATTTTTATATTTTATAAAGGTTATAAATCGAAATGTATTTCTTGAAAATTGACAGTTCTTCACAGTGAAAGTAAAGGAAATGTTTTATGAGCACTTTACAGTGGAGTGCGTGCCCGAATTTAAGTTATAGTTTACTGCCGGCGAAATTAAAAGGTCAGTACAATGTTCATATAAACTTTTCAAATATTGGCGTTGAGAAACTATTTAATACTTTTTTATTTTTGTATTGAAATAATAAAATAATTTTCACATTTAGTATTATTTTACAAGAAAGTCAATTTATTTTAACCATTGTATGACATTTGACAACTGTCAACTAACTTCAGCCCGTGACTAAAAACCTGTTGCTAACTTCAGCCCGTGACTAAAGAGCCATAAAGCCACAACTTTTCAATGTGTATTTAAAAGGTCACTTAGTGTCATGGAAACATGTACGATAAAGTTTGTTTTAAAGGTGGGAGTAGAAAAAATTATTTTTTCCCATGTTAATTAAATGGGAAACTAAAATAAAAACAGCGACCTCTTAGAGTTAAGCTGGAACGCCCATATTTGGTGAGGATTTTTTTTCTATTAAATAGAAACATTTGAGAGGGTAAGAGCGAAAAAAAAATTAAATTTTATCCTTTGAAGCACCCTAATATTCCTCAAAAAATCTTGTCAAAAAACAATAAAAACCCAAAGATCAGACTGGTTTTTTAACCTACTAGATAAAACAATAATTTTAAGGTTATTAGAGAAAAAGTGATATTATTACCTGTATCTCGTCTAAATTTGCTTTATGCTGTACCCTCTGGGCGGTCTCCGGTAAATAACTTGGTGTCGGTAGATTACCCAACGGTGGTAATGGTGACAATATCGGTGTTGGTAGTGGTGCAATATCAGGAATATTCTGAGCACGTGTGCCGTTAGTTTCACCCACAATCCACTTTTCTGATCTTTTGCGTCTTTTTGCAAACAATTCAGCTCCTAAAAATACGAAGAAAAGTTACTTATTGTACAAAAAACATCTATTTTTTATATTAAAATCAAATTTAGTAGTAGATACTCTAAAATGATCCTAAAAATGGGTATAATTTAATGGCCACTAAATGTTACATAACTTCTTCAAAAATCTTCCAACATCAGAAAATACAAGATAACTAAACCAAACTTTTTAACTTACAGTTATTTTCCGATGATATTGGTGTCGCAAAATTAAAATACGTCTTCCACACAACGAAAAGTCAATAAGTACTACTACTTGTGTTCTGCATACGTGAGAGGTTGGCAGAACATTCTCAAATTAATTAAATGCTAATACCAATTATAACACTCTGGATAAAGATAGAAGATTTAAAATAAGAACTCGTTACGAGCCAAGAAAATCAATTCCTCAATCAAAATCGAGGAATCTGATTGATTTATGTGTTACGATAATGTTTTGCTATTAACTTTTTTAATGGTACAAGAAGACGAAATATGATTAATTACAAAATAATTATTATGCAAAATAAAAGTACTAAAAATTGTTAAAATTAGTTAATTATAAAATAAAAAATGATTATTTTTAACATCCCTTTGTATATTTGAAATAAGTTATTGTATCTTTTGACAACTTAATATTTTTAAAAAATACAATTGTACTATGCTCCACTCCTCAAAGTCCCACCACGTGACCACGTACGGAACGCAGTCTTTTGAAAATTTGGCATTTAAGGCTTTTCAGGTTATGTATTTGTCAAAGTATAGTCGACGAAAGAAATAATATTATGTTTAGGCGTTAAAAATGTATAAATCTTTATAACATTAGAATAACAATGGATGGTTTAGGAATTTAAAAATATAAATACTGCATTTAATGAAATTCTAAAGTGTATGGTGCCAAATAAGTAATATGTTTGTCCATTTGGTCAAAATATCTGGTTTTCTCCATAAAATAATTTTAACTAAACAGCATTTTTTTAAAAAATCTAGCTTCTCTATTATGGAATAAGAGTATCTGTATTAAAGGTAGGTTAATATATTATAACAAAAATATCATTTAATTTTGTAATTTTAAGGTTAGAAAAATTTATTTTGACCAAAATTAATAAGTATTTTAGATTATTTAAAAGACTGTATAATATGGTATTTAAAAATGTGTTAGTTTTTCTTATCCAGCTTAGAGTGTACCTACATAAAGTTTTGTCAATACAAATAGTTAAAAAGCTTCGACTGAATTTGATCTACATAAAAAAAAATTTAATAAATCACATGTCATGGGAGTATTAAATATTTTCACATAGCAAGTTTCTCTAAAAATTGTTTGTTTTCTTATAATCTAACTTAAAGTAGGTATGCCGAGAGGTATGCACAAGTTTTGTCATTAGAAGTATAAGAGCTTCAATTTAATTTGAACTATATATATTCAACAATTATTTAGTATACCTATATTTATTTATGACCATATTAACACACTCTTTCAAATAATCCACTTATTTATTTTGGTCAAAATAGATTTTTCTAACCTTATAATACACAATTAGATGATATTTTTTGTTCTAATACATTAACCTACCTTTGATACAGATATTCTTATTTCATAATAGAGAAGTTTTTTTAATAAATGCTGTTTAGTTTAAACTATTTTATGGAGAAATGTAGACCCAATGCACAAAAATATCACTTATATTGCACCTTATACTTTGGAATTTCATTAAATGCAGTATTTATATTTCCAAATTCTTAAACCAACCATTGTTATTGTGATACTATAAAGATTTATTAACTTTTAACGCTTAAACATAAGCGGTAATACTATAAATATTCTTTCATTGACTAAACTTTGACAGATACATAACCTGAAAAGCCTTAAATGCCAAATTTTCAAAAGACTGCGTTCCGTACGTGGTCACGTGGTGGGACTTTGAGGTGTGGAGCATAGTACAGTTGTATTCAATAAAAAAGCGTACAAGAATTAGAATGAGAGAAAACTGTCAAAATAATATTATTGCTTAAAACCGGCTTATCACTGACATAAGTCATTAAAATAATTACTATAGGTTATAAAGAGCATTGACGTCGTAAGTTAATTAAATAATATTACAAAAATGTTTACCTTTTAGAAATGAAAAAAAACAAACATTAAAAAAATTTAATATTTAGTCATGCATCCGTGTTTTTTTATTACTTGAGACAATCTATTTGGGATGAACTGAATTAAATTTAATACAATATTTAGATTAATATCCTCCCAGCAGTATAGTAGGTATAGTATAGTTGTATAGTTTCCCATAAATCCTCAGATATCCCAAAAAAGCAGCATCCTGTTCAGGGGTGGACATTTTGGGACGACCTGAACCAACTTTTTGGTTTAGTAAATCTTCCTGTTCCCAGCGTTGCTTAATTTTTAATATAGATTTTTTATTTCTATTATATCACGGTACGAATTGACCATTCTTCTTCTATTCTTGATACTATTTGAGCCTTTTTAACTGACGAGGCATTTTTATTTTCTACTGTCAGTTATAGTGACTTAAGTCAGTGGAAAGCCGGTTTTACGCAATAATGTTGACAGGTTTCTCTCATTCTAATTCTTGTACGCTTTTTTAATGAATACAACTGTACATACATAAAATATTTATAACAAAAAATCTACTTACTGAGATATTACACTTTACGGTGGATAGGTTTTTAAATAGCAAATTAATGAACTTAAACTTTTGAATTATAAAACAGCAACACATGCATCTATAATGTCTTAAACATAGGTTTTTGCTTATTTAAAATGATTAAAGCGCCATCCGTTGCATAAAATTTAAAGCAAAAACAGATTCACGGAGGATAGAATCAATTTTTTATAATTTATACCTTTTCCTTTGGGCGAATTCAGATCCTTAACAATTTCTGCACAGACATCAGGGGACAAAGCGGGTTCTATGCACACTCCTTGCTTCCTTAACGAATTCAAATCCTGGATTTGACCATGTGGGTTCATCACCAATTTTAAGGTATCCTTTGCACCTGTACCTTCACCACCAACTTCTGTACCATTTAATCCACCTTTTCCTGAATAGAAAAAAAAAAAGATTTTAAGTTTGTGCCCTTAGACTTTCCAAACAAGAACCTCCACAATTTTGGATTTAAAAAATAAATAAAAAAGGGTATCCTATTGAAAGATTTAAGGACTTTTACATAAACATTTACATACGAAAAGGTCCTCATTTGGTAAAAAAGAAAATGTTCACCAATACAATTCCCCAGATATCAACACTGCTATGACCATAACCAAAATCAAGGAAATAGACTGGGAATTGCTATCACATTCTCCGTATTCTCCAGATTTGACCCCCCTTTGAATTTTGTTTTTTCAGAACCGAAAAAATCGTTTGGAAAGAGATACGAGGTGTGTTCAGAAAATATCGGGAATTTTCGTTTTTTGAAACAAATATTTATTTATTCGCCTACATTAATGTTGTCGCCTTCAAAACAGTCCTCATTGGATATTATGCACATGTGCCAGCTCTTCTTCCAATACTCGAAACACTTCTAAAACTCGATCTTTGGGATAGCCTTTAGTTCTTTCAGCGATGCGCTTTTAATGTCATCTATGCTTGCAAAACGACGGCCCTTTAAGGGTCTCTTTATTTTTGGGAATAGGAAAAAGTCAGACAGAGGCATGTCTGGCGAATATGAAGGCTGGGGCATCATTACAGTATTGTTTTTGGCCAAAAATTTTGTTCAAAATTTAAATATTTTAGAACAAATTTTGCTGCCACGCGTTTCATACCCAAAACATTCGAAAAAATTTCATGGGATGAGCCAATCGATATACCAACATCATCAGCGACTTCTCTGATGGTTTATAACCATTTCTTCCACTTTTTCCATGTTTTTATCGGTTGTTAATGCGCTTGTGCGTTCGGAGCGTTTGTCATCTTCAACGTCTTCACGGCCATCTTGGAAACTCTTATACCACTTGTAAACTCTTGTTTTACTTATAGCAGACTAACTATAGCCCTTTGTTAACATTTCACAGAATTTATTTCATTTCTTAAGCAAAATTGGATACAAATTCTTTGATCCATTTCTTTTAACGAACGAAAAATCGCCGAGCTCATAAAACACGTCTAATCTTAGCGGCTGCCACAGACAAAGTAAACAATGAAAACAGCTAAAGTTTTTATCATACTTCAGGGGAATGTATACCAACAAAATAAATAAAATTTTATGACAACCGGACCCTCCGAACCCGCGAAATTTAACAATTCCCGTTATTTTCTGAACACACCTCGTATGCCTCAAATGATGAAATTATGACGAAAAAGAGCAATATTTGTGATTTGGAGGAATGAAGTAGAGTATTTTAAATAACTACATTTAAATTTTGCTATTAAAATATTGTCGTCAAATTTTCACATCTGCTTCAATTGTCTAATAACAAATTTATTTATATCTAAAAGCAGATTTTGGCTTGGAAAGACACACTAAAAATATGTTTTGATTTTTATTGTTGAATGCTATTTCTTCATTTTGAAACTCAATTTTGATAAACAGTGTTTTTTATGAATTATAAATACATGATAAACATGCCATCATTTAGGCTTCAGAATTATATCCTGTTGACTGGAGTAGAAAAAATATTTAGTTTAAAAATAAAAATAAAAAGATCAAAACCAGTTCAATTAACCGTTTATCTTAATGTATTTGTATCGTTTAACATAAACTATAAATCAAATAAATGTCGGTCCAGCCATTATCTATTATCTATTTTTGCTCTGAAAGGGAACTAGTTTATGTAATCCTATTAAAGCTGGCATGCGCCCAACAAAATCTACTTCCGGATTAACTGATTGATTGGCAATGACATATTTTAGAAATATATCCACCCAGAAAATATAGAGGCAATTAAGAAATTTAATTAATTTTGTCATTTTTATGAAACATTTTGCTTTGGGTCATTTTCAAATCTCTTGTACATTTAAAGAAGAAAAAGTACACACATAAGTATTTTTAATATATTTTCTGTATTTAAAAAATGTCCATTAAAAAAAGTGAGTTTAACAAATTTTCTTTTAATGCGTTTTAAAAAAGTTTCTTCTTGATTTTTTATCTGGGCCCAGCTTGTCCAATTTAACGAGCAATAAATTAATAAAAAGTTTTAGTTATTAGTAATAATAATAAAATAATCATAAAAAGTCAATATAAACATTGTTTCGTTGAACTACCAAATATTTTTTTCCAGCTTCTTTGAGACAAAATACATTGACTGGGAAAATTACTATTAAAAAGGTGGAGGACGTTATTTTAAACACCTGTATTTATAAATATTGCCACAAATGGGCTTTTTCTGTAATATTTGAAATATATTCTCAACTATATAAAAAAGGACGATGTTATATTACTCTAAGATGTTTAAATAGCATTAAGTAGTATTATTGCAAGTGGGATAGCTACTTTTCTGTACTGTTGGGGAAAGTTTTAGGAAACAAACTGATAAGTACCAGAGCTTAAAACAGCAAGATTTTATTCGCAATATTTGATCATGGTAAACAGACTCAGTGACGAAAAACTAACTACACTCACAGGCAAAATAATCGATCCACACAAATTTTCGATGAATTTCAATCGCAAATAACTTTTTTATTTAATTTCGGATTTAAACAAATATTAAAGAATATTGTAGATACATTTATGGAGAATCGCTCACATTTTAAAAATTACTAAAAAATACACGTACGTTTATAATAGACAGGTTTAAACAAAAAGATGTTTTTACCATAAGTTTAAGACACTCTGTAGAGTGGCTAAACCGTATATTGTTCTAAATTAAGTTTTAATTATCAAATCACATCTATTTTTAACAGTTTTGTTTTTGGTTCACCTTGATATATTAAATTTTGTGGAAAATATGGATTTTTTTTAAAAAAAACATTGCAGTTTCCAATATTTTCCTGTATGAAGAACTAAGGCTGATATGGTCCATCCATAGCCTATGGAGGATGACAGTGACAGTTTTGTTAAATCATCCCATACTTGGATATGGTATCCAATTGTTTTTTGTAAATTATTTTAAAAATGTCTCCGACTGATGTTGCCCTTTGTACTTTACTTCTTGTGACGTTTAAAACACTTGCCACGTAATACTGTGACGGTCCATCCTGGATTAAATTAATGGCTCTGGCAACATCAGTCGGAGACATATCCATTTTTTAAAGTAAGAAGACACCTCAAAATTTAAACATTAATTTGCAAAAAACAATTTGATAGCTTTTGAAAGCCGTGTATGACATGTCCAAGTGATTCAACAAAACTGTCACTGTCATCCTCCATAGGCTATGTATAGACCATAGCAACCTTAGTTCTTCATACAGAAAAATATTGGAAATTGCAATGTTTTTTTTAAAAAATCCATATTTTCCAAAAAAATAAATATATCGAGGTGAACCAAAAACAAAACTGTTAAGAATAGATGTGACTTGATAAATAAAACTTAATTTAGAACAATATAAGGTTTTTCCACTCTACAGAGTCTTAAACTTATGGTAAAAAACATCTTTTTGTTTAAACCTGTATATTATAAACTTACGTCTATTTTTAAGAAATTTTTTAAATTGTGAGCGATTGTCCATTAATTTATCTACAATATTCTTTAATATTCGTTTAAATCCGAAATCAAATAAAAAAGTTATTTGCGATTGAAATTCATCTTCGCACAATGTGGTAAAATAATTTGTGTATATCTGTTTCTTACACTAATAGTGGTACAATAATGACTAAATAAGGCTGAATGTTTATGTTCATTTTGCTTACCTTCTCCTTCATGTACCCACTTTACAGATCGTTTTTTTCGGTTGACGTACATCGACTGGCCTTTGCTACTTTTGTTGCTAATATCACTCAGTGAACTGGAAATTCTTTTTGCCAGTTCAACTTGGTCCTCAACGGTGGGATGGAAGCCTTTGTCGTAGAATGCCGAAGATGCAAACATCTTCCCTGAAAAAAATTTTTTTTAATAAACTGTGAAATTTTTTAAAATTTACTGTATAAAAATATGGGCTTCTTTAAAAATCTTTTCAAATTGTCAAAAACAGTTATTTTAAATGTAAAAAATACAGAAATTTTGGAGTTGCAATGTCAACAATTTCAATTTTAGCTAAATTGACACCAAGAATATTTTACTTTAAAAAGTACGTTTTGTTAGTTAAATTTAAAAAAATATACTAATAAAATATGAATGGGTGAATTTCACAAAATGTTCCCCGATTTGTGAAATTTAATAAAACTAAATTAGTTTGACCTACACTTTTATTGTGTTTTGATTTTTCATAATTAAGTAGATATTACAGCTCAGGTTCCAGATTTTTAATTGCAATTAATTATTTTTGACAATGTTTAAAAGTCTAAAACCTATCCTCCGTGACTGTTACTCTTTCTAGGTTAACCTATATGTTTTCAAATATCTGAGGTAGTAAAAGCATAATAAAAATATCAGTTCACTAAGTAAATTAAACACATCCAAAGCAATCGAATCAAATATAAAATATTATTAAAAATTAAAAGAAATAATTTTTATAACCATTTACGTAGGTGTTACAAAAATTGATTCTATCCTCCGTGAATCTGTTTTGTTTTAAATTTTATGCAACGGATGGCGCTTTAATCATTTTAAATAAGCAAAACCTCTGTTTACGGCATTATAGATGCATGTGATTTCTGAAGGTCAGTTAGAATTTATATGCAGATGAGAGTGTTGCTGTTTTATAATTCAAAAGTTTAAGTTCATTAATTTACCATTTAAAAACCTATCCACCGTGAAGTTTAATATCTCAGTAAGTAGATTTTTTTAATAAATTTTTGATGTATGTACAATTGTATTTTTTAAAAATATTAAGTTGTCAAAAGATACAATAACTTATTTCAAATATACAAAGGGATGTTAAAAAAAACATACGAAATCCTAACCTCCGTGAAGCTCTAATATTCAAAATGTATGATTTCTTAAAATTCTTGCATTAGTGCAGAACCACTTATGTTATGTTACTACTAGACCTGGTGGCTTCCCAAAAACCCCATTCTAGACTAACAGTGAAACAACCAAAAATAAAAAGTAATCATTTTCACTGGGGGGATACCTCAATAAATTCACCCATATATAAATAAATCAATCCGTAATATTTTTTGGAATTCATTATTTATGTATATAGAAATCATATACATTATTTTGTTACAAAAATATAATAATTTGCCCATAAATATTCCAAGTCATAAATAAAATTGCGTACAATTGGCAACTGGAAATCATAAAATAAATACCAAATTTTAGACTTTCTAGAAATTTTATTCAAAATAAAAATTTAATACGATTTCTGCAATTATATGAAAAAATCCATTAGACTTTGATTCGGATAAATATTTATTTAATGCTTTAAAAATACAATCTGTTTAAAATTGCGTAGTTGAAATCGTTTGAAATTGAATTAAACACATGTATGCAATATCAGATCTCAGATCAATAGACGGTTTTGTGTAACCTATAATTATAATAACCTCATTGCAAGCAAATATTCGGGGTGTGTTCAGAAAATATCGGGAATTTTCGTTTTTTGAAACAAATATTTATTTATTCGTCTACATTAATGTTGTCGCCTTCAAAATAGTCCCCATTGGATATTATGCACATGTGCCAGCTCTTCTTCCAAAACTCGAAACACTTCTAAAACTCGATCTTTGGGATAGCCTTTAGTTCTTTCAGCGATGCGCTTTTAATGCCATCTATGCTTGCAAAACGACGGCCCTTTAAGGTTCTCTTTATTTTTTGGGAATAGGAAAAAGTCAGACAGAGGCATGTCTGGCGAATATGGAGGCTGGGGCATCATTACAGTATTGTTTTTGCCCAAAAATTTTGTTCAAAATTTAACAATTTTAGAACAAATTTTGCTGCCACGCGTTTTATACCCAAAACATTCGAAAAAATTTCATGGGATGAGCCAATCGATATACCAACATCATCAGCGACTTCTCTGATGGTTTATAACCATTTCTTCCACTTTTTCCATGTTTTTATCGGTTGTTAATGTGCTTGTGCGTTCGGGGCGTTCGTCATCTTCAACGTCTTCACGGTCATCTTGGAAACTCTTATACCACTTGTAAACTCTTATTTTACTTATAGCTGACTCACTATGGGCCTTTGTTAACATTTCACAGAATTTATTTCATTTTTTAAGCAAAATTGGATACAAATTCTTTGATCCATTTCTTTTAACGAACGAAAAATCGCAGAGTTCATAAAACACGTATAACCTTAGCGGCTGCCACAGAAAAAGTAAACACTGAAAACAGCGAAATTTAACAATTCCCGTTATTTTCTAAACTCACCTCGTATTTTTAATATATTCCATATGTAAATAAAAAAATAAAATTATAAAAAAATGACTTACTATTTCTGGTGGGTTGAATCTGTTCTCCATCAGCCGGTGTGAAGATTTTTTCCAAATTAATAGGTTTCGAAGGTGGGGCATTTTCATCCTAGAAAAACAAAACAACATTCAGTTAAAATCAAAACTAGGCCGTCTGGATTACACAGTCCATCATTTTGCAAAATAAATTAGATATAATTTTTAATTAATGCCTTATACACATTGGCTTACATCCAGGATGAAGAAACCCGAAACGTTGATATATTTAATCGGTTTTTAAAAATAAACTGGATTTATATTATTAATAAAAAAGGGGACTTAATAGTTTGGTTTATGTTAATACTTTCTATATTTTGTAATTTTCTAGGTGCTTCCTATATCTAAAAATATTTTTGATGAAAAATTCATATTCTGTACATGTTATGATAGGTACAGTGAATGGGTCGTTTTCAAAAAACACCCGCCTTCCGCTGTCCGTAAGTTTGAATTCCAATAACTTTGTTAAAAATTATCGGATCTTATTAATTTAACAACCAAGTGAAAGCCTAACAAGCCCTTAGTAAACTCTTTTAGAAAATGTTTGTTTAGTTATTTCAGAATATTTTTTTTTTAATTTTGAATCTTGTGAAACACACATTTTCGAATGTCCCATTAGCGTTTTATAAAACTTACATACATGTTTTTTTTTTAATACTGAATAACCAGAACTTTGTGTTGCTTTATAGCAATCCATAAATCCTTAGTTAATACAGTAAACAATTTATATATAAAATAATTAATTTTAATATACTTTTTTTAAATTTGACTCATGTCCCAGACATTTTTTCCGTTGCGTTACGTCCGTCGCGTTACCGATAGAATATTTAAAAAACATATATGGCAACTTTTTTGGCACTTACGTGTTTCACAAATGATGTTCGGACGTACACATTACCCAGCAGAATTTATTTATTCAATCAGGAAGAAGATATCGTTTGAAACAAGTGTGGGTAACGCGAATGTAATAATTGTTTGTCCGCTAAGTTACTCAAAAAAATAATAAAAATATGGTAAGAAAAAATACTATTTTTCATGATTATGTTTATTTTAGGAAACCAAAGCTCATTGAGAGTAATTGATGACTGTAATGTCTTATTATTATTTTTTAAATATGGTTTCACAAAACTTTGCCACTGCGTTACCGAGTCCACTATGTTACCTTATGGTAACAGAATGGAATTTAGGGTAACGCAATAGAATTTTTCGACAACAAAGTGGATTTTTACCGTCGCTTTTATTAAAAGTAGTTTATGATAAACCAATTTAAAATTATTTGTGATTACAACTCACGATATAGATTACAAAAATACTATTTTTCATGATTATGTTTATTTTAGGAAACCAAAGCTCATTGAGAGTAATTGATGACTGTAATGTCTTATTATTATTTTTTAAATATGGTTTCACAAAACTTTGCCACTGCGTTACCGAGTCCACTATGTTACCTTATGGTAACAGAATGGAATTTAGGGTAACGCAATAGAATTTTTCGACAACAAAGTGGATTTTTACCGTCGCTTTTATTAAAAGTAGTTTATGATAAACCAATTTAAAATTATTTGTGATTACAACTCACGATATAGATTACATCCAAGGGAAAATTCCACGCAATATACAAGTACTAAAAGGGACCTTCACCAGCTTATACTTTACTTTTTCCCAAAAAATGTAAAAAATATACAGGGTGTTTTATTTAAAAAATGTTATATTTGTGAATATTTCGGAAATTCGACATTCAATTTTTTTATGTTTTTACCATTTTATACAGAAGAAAAAATGTCACCGGTTTTCCAATTTAGTACTCCAGACTTAGTAGCTCCAATAATAACAAGTTACCAAATAGCCAGTATACGCTGTGTGTTCAGAAAATAACGGGAATTGTTAAATTTCGCGGGTTCGGAGGGTCCGGTTGTCATAAAATTGATATACATGCCCCCGAAGTATGATAAAAACTTCAGCTTTTTTCATTGTTTACTTTGCCTGTGGCAGCCGCTAAGGTTAGACGTGTTTTATGAGCTCGGCGATTTTTCGTTCGTTTAAAGAAATGGATCAAAGAATTTGTATCCAATTTTGCTTAAAAAATGAAATAAATTCTGTGAAATGTTAACAAAGGCCTATAGTGAATCTGCTATAAGTAAAACAAGAGTTTACAAGTGGTATAAGTGTTTCCAAGATGGCCGTGAAGACGTTGAAGATGACGAACGCCCCGAACGAACAAGCACATTAACAACCGATAAAAACATGGAAAAAGTGGATGAAATGGTTATAAACCATCAGAGAAGTCGCTGATGATGTTGGTATATCGATTGGCTCATCCCATGAAATTTTTTCGAATGTTTTGGGTATGAAACGCGTGGCAGCAAAATTTGTTCTAAAATTGTTAAATTTTGAACAACATTTTTGGCCAAAAACATAGACATGCCTCTGTCTGACTTTTTTCTATTCCCAAAAATAAAGAGAACCTTAAAGGGCCGTCGTTTTGAAAGCATAGATGACATTAAAACCGCATCGCTGAAAGAACTAAAGGCTATCCCAAAGATCGAGTTTTAGAAGTGTTTCGAGTATTGGAATAAGAGCTGGCACATGTGCATAATATCCAATGGGGACTATTTTAAAGGCGACAACATTAATGTAGACGAATAAATAAATATTTGTTTCAAAAAACTAAAATTCCCGATATTTTCTGAACACACCTCGTATATCAATTTTGTTCGTAATTTTTTTAAATGAAAAAATTAAATAAAAGAATTTCTTAAAATTTGAAAAATAATAATTTTGTGGAATCTACATACATTTATTTTGGTAAAAACGAATAAACTATAAAGTATAAAAATAGTAATTTTGTAGACAAAACATATATGTATTTGCACCTACTTCAAATCTGACATGCTTCTCAAACTTCTTAGCGTTAAATTTCTCACTCAAACCATTCACGATACTTTCCCTGAAAGTCTCTTCGGAATTTTCAGTGGTAACCGACACAATCTGCCCCCCCAAAAACATTTTGCCTGACACCGACACGTTGTGTACAAAAACTCAAGTTGGCGCGTATTCAACTTACAAAACGAACAAGTAGGTACAGTAACAATACTTAAAAATAAAAGTCTGCAAAAACAAGTTTTTGAGAACAGCACAACGAGAAATTTAAACTGGAATGTATCTCATCAAAACAGAACTGCAAACTGAATCGGTTTCGGGATTTTCAGCGGGCTGAAGCGCACTGGAAGGTTGGTAGAACTGCTGCGTTCTAATATTGGCCGGTATAACAACATGTTGTTGGTGGTTTTGGTTATGATGCAATAATAAGCGGAAAAGTGTGTTTTATAGTCTGGAACATGAAGAATAATTGGTGCTTTCAAATGCGTTTTATCTTAATTTGTTTAAGGAAATTGATATGCTTTATGTATTAAAGCTAAATTATGTTTTTAATACAAGGTGTACAAAAAACATAATATCCATACATTTTCTTTTATTTATGCCTGATAATGCACCAACGCTGAAAATCAAAGTCAAAATTTTCGTCCTTTTTCAAAACGACATAACTTTTTGGTTTCTTGAACGATTTTATTTTGTTTTGTGTTGTTTGCTAGCTTCATTCTCTGGAAATTCATGATGAAAAATGATAAGATGGTGAAAGATTGTTCCTTGAATAATTCTGAACAAGTGACAAGCAACAAACTTCCATTAATTTTAGAGGAACCTAAGCAAAGACCACTTTTTCAATATGACATTTTGGAGAAAATTTGCGAAAACTAAACCTGAACCGATATTTACGTTCGTGACATGTTTGCTTTATAATTTTGACCTCTAAATGTGATTCAGTTGTCAAATTTAAATTTTAGATAAAACCAAAATCACCAAGAATCAAAATTCGAAAACAATTCCCGGCTGTTAAATGTCTCAATATCATACCTTTAATAATAATAATAATAATTTATTAATCCACAATTTATCACATCTACAGGACATAGGACAGGTCAGAAATTACACAATACCATTTGGGGATTCATTTTTTGGGAAAAATTACTGCAATTTGTTTGAGTGGTTAGGATAATGTTACATAAATTACATTTATATTGTGCACTAGTGATAACTTATTACTGATAAGTACCTACCTAATTGGTAATAAAGTTAAATACAAAATTTGTTTGTTCATTTTTGAAAATTTTATGCGAAGATATAATCATAATAAAAACTACAACGTTCAACAGAAAAATGTAACAAACAATAACAATAATAACTTTCAATATTTCGTTGGCCCTCCCCTAACCCGTAATAATTCGTTAACCCTCCTGGGCATTCCCTAGACCAAGTTCCTTAGAAATTCCTGGGGTATGGCTTCCCATTCTTCCTGAATCGAATTTACCAATTCATTCAAATTTTCCATGCGTCCTTTTCTCTCTTTCATCTTCAGGTTCATCCTGCTCCACACATGCTCAATAGGATTCATATCCGGAGACAAAGGTGGCCAATTCATTCTCTCAATATCATGGTCCCTTAAATACTCATTTACGATATTAGCGCGATGCGGACGGGCATTGTCGTCCACCAACACCCAATTATTGACATTTAATTTTCATCATTTGATTCTTGATTTGATCATTCAGTGACATGATAATAACGTACTAAAGATGCAAAATACAGTAAAAAACAGTACAATCCAGCAATCAGATTTTATTGAGAAATTTAACAGCCAGGAATTGTTTTCGAATTTCTGGTGATTTTGGTTTTATCTGAAACCTAAATTTGACAACGTAAATATCGGTTCAGGTTTAGTTTTCTAAAATTTTCACCAAAACTTCATTTTGAAAAAGTGGTCTTTGCTTAGGTTCCTCTGAAAATAATGGAAGTTTGTTGCTTGTCGCTTGTTCAGAATTATTGAAGGAACAATCTTTCACCATCTTATCTTTTTGTTCTTAAGAAGGCTGAGTGTATTTCCTACAAAAAAGCATCAAATGTCAAAAATCACATTTTTGTTGCTAAGATTCCAATTCGAAAAATTTGAAAAACGTTTTAAGGTAAGACATAATATGTACTTCATTATTTCAAAGTAGAAACGAGAAAAAAATATGTATTTTACAAACGGGGCTTGGATGAAGTTATTGAAATTTTTCACTGTTTTACATATCACCCTGTAGTAAATTTACTTGAAGAACCGTGAGCTTCATATCTATAGCATGAATTGCCAGAGAATGGGGCTAGCAGACATCACAACCCAAAATAAAATCGTTGAAGAAACAAAAAAGTTATGTCGTTTTGAAAAAGGACGAAATTTTTGGTCTCGACACACTGAGTGGTGCGCAGTTTAGAAAGTGTGACTATTTTAGAGTGGCCTTCTTGTTCACCGGATCTTAATCCAATTGAGAACTTAAGGGATAAGGTTAAAATAAGAATGAGAGCCCGTTAAAACAACCTGGAAAGGCAGAGCAACTAGTAGAAGTAGTTTTAGAAGGGTGGGAAAAAGTTCAAGAAGAAGAAATAAGTAACTCTAGAAAATTTGTTTTAATAAATTTTTAATAAGTTCAGATAAAGTGGTTTTTGTTCCAAATCACTTTTTTATGTGTAATAATGTTTTATTGTATGTATATTTATATTTAATAGATTTTAAAGACTCTTTGGATTCTTGCCAATAAAATCCCAGTGGGTGGCGTACCCCTCGCGCTCTTTGATCGCCCCAAGGTCAAGCCAAAAACCACAACAAACGTCTGCCATTTGGGAAACCATAATATTTACCAACACCATAAAAATTATTACTCCCAAAATTTCCCAACACTTACCAATCCTATTTTGAACACCTTCTGGGTCAAACTGGTCAAGAACTGCTTTTTGCTAGGATCTTTCCTGTCTGAGGGCTTGAAGCACCTGTTTGACTCGATGACCTCGGTGATGCTTTGGGATTTTTGCAGACCGCCTCCGCGGGAAGGCGGCCATGACCCCGTTGGAGTCGATGGTACGGAAGATGGCAAAAATTTGCTGCTGACACTTTTACTTGAACTGTAACTTTCTTCTCTCACGGAGTACGAAGAACTTTGCTCTTTAGAGTCCACTATTTTGCTTATCAATCGCATGATGGCGCTTTAAGAACACTTTGGCAAAAGAATATACGCTAAAGAAGCATTTATATTTAAGTTTGAAGATTTTTAAGAAATATAACAAAAAGTAATTGTCGTACAAACATAACCTTAAAATCAATAAGTCATCTATAAAAACGCCGACAACTGCATTTTAAACGACAAAATATACCTACGAATTCATGGCAACATAATATTATATACAATCATAATATAATACCGGTTCTTGGTATTTTACTGTTTAGTAAAGACTTTCTTAATCAGACGACTTATTTGTTTTATGATAACCATTAAGGCGCAAAATAGTAATGCAGTGAGTATACTATCCGAAATCATACAATTTCTAATAAACCCTCACGGGTTAATTTAAACTGTTAATAAAATTCTCATTTACTATAATGAAGCAGCAATGTTGAGCTTTTATAAAAAAAAATGTTCATCCAACAAAGTAATATTTGTTATCATATTGTCATGGCCATAAGAAATACTGTATTTTTATATTAAATCTTTGTCGAACTAAAATGTTTTTGTTAAATCTATAGTTGAGTGTGAATTGCGCTTACATAAAGTAATGTTGTTATAGTAAAATTTGTGCATTTTACTATGGCATATTTGTCTTTTTTAAATTACTATCGTTGTAATTCAAATTAATTTTATTTCAGTAAGAAAATCTTTGCTAATAGCTTACGTTAAGATCAATAACAAAAATATTTTTTTGCTATAAAAATACTTTTTAATATTTACCATTGTTTTGCAATGGTAACAAACTTTTTGTTATTTCCCTTAAAAGGAGGGGGAAAGGGCCAGCGCTTTCCTTGGTGAACATAACTTTATAATCCACAGTCTGTGTTATAATCTTATCGATTTCACTTGTGCGAGTGAAGTGTGGTAAAATCTAGCATGATAAAAATATCAAAAAGATCACTAAGAAAATTAAAATTTCGACGTTTTCTAAAAGAAATATTTTAGGTCTATTCTATAAAGGAAGCAGACTTGTTGTTTAAAAAGTGAGTTCATATTTTTTTATTTTGTACATCATATAATATGAGTTAATTTTTTTGTTATAATAAATAATTTGTTTTAATGCCTTGCAATTATTTAAAAAAAAAAACTACCCAATACCCAACAGTAGGTTGAAACTGTGACCATTGTTACAATGAAAATAGTTTATTGAATTAACAATTAATTTTTTGTTAAATTTACATAAACTTAATTAATAATATAAAAAAAGTTTTATTTTAAAAGAAAAGGGATTTGTAAAATTTACAAAATTTAGGGTTTCATTAATACTACAATACGTTTTTGTAAACGGTATAGAACTGTTTTTTTGGACAAATAATAATAACTATATTTATCAATGCGTTTCTGCATCTGGAAGAGTGTTATTTTTATAAACATAACGTAAATTTACTTTATAATTCATTTAAATGCTATTAATGAATGCAGCGTTTGTAGATAAAATTTTTTTATAAAAATATTCTTTTTGCCGTAACAAAAGCAATTGTTGGACGAATAGGGATCTTTACTTTATTAAGACAAACTACTTTTTTTGTTATATTTATTAAAAAATGTTCTGAGTATGTCAAATTTAAAATTTTAGTAAATTTTTGAAAATTATTAAAATTTTTACCAACCTTAAGGTTGTTTTATTCTTGTATTTAATAACCCTTTATGTAATAAATATGTGTATTTAATATTAATTGCATAGTTTAGAAGAACAAACCAAACAATATTTAACACTAATTGATTTTTAGCGAAACTGAATAACAATCAAAACTGAACCACTGTTTATCTTTGGATGGCAAATGAGTACTACAATTTATTAGATTAAAATAATAATAATTGTAATTAATTATAAACAATTCATTACCGGCCCACTCGGAATCAATAAATTTGTTTAAAATGTATTCCTGTAATGTTATCGATTACATTTGTTGTTTTAACCTTGCGAAATCCTAGTAGGTTTGAATAAAATTTAATGTAAAGCATGTGTAGTATTTTCTTGGTATTATTGGGATTATGTTTATTTTAAATGCGTTTATAGCATCTGATTAATGGTGTTGATAATTTGATTTAGGCGTAGTTGAGGTTTTTAATTAAAATAAGTCGTTTACAATTTTACTCTGCGACGCACTATGGTCAAAAAGCAGCGTTTTGCGGACAAAATTCAATAACTTTTTTATTACAAATAAATATTTGTTTTTTCTTTTTTTAATGTATTAAATAGGAGTTATTACGTATTTTTAACTATATTTTAATCAACAATTTTAAAGTTTTTTATTTTTTAAATGCGTTTTTAGATTATCATAAAGCAACTTTTTTAATAAAAATAAATATTATTTTTTTTATTTTTTACTATGTTAAATAGGACCTACTACGTATAATTAACTATATTTTAATCGAAAAACATAACGGTTTTTATTTTTTAAATGCGTTTTAGATGGTCCTAGAGCATCATTTGAGGAAATAATCAAAAAACTTTTTTACTGCAAAGAAATATTTATTTTTTAAAGTGTTGAATAGGTGTTGAATTAGGTATAATTAACTATGTTTTAATAAAAAAAATAAAGGTCTTTATTTTTTAAATGCCTTTTTTAGATGTTCGCGGTTTTTTATTGTAAATAAATAAATATTTTTTAACTAAATAAATACATATTTTTTAACTATCTTAAATAAACATAATTTGAATTTTAACATTTATTCCATTAATAATTTCTGAACTTTCAAGTGTAAATTGATTTTCATCCAAATTTGGAAATCTTCTCTTTAAATTTTCAGAAAAAAGACTTACATCTTTGTCACTATTTAAAAATAGTTATATTAAAAACTAAAAAGAAACGCAGAAAGTACTCATTTTAAAAAATCACAAAATGCAATAGTCTAAGTTAAATTTGCTTTCGCTATATATGTAAAATATTATTACCTTATAAATGAGGGAATAATGTTTAACCTAATAGTTTTTACCTTTAAAGATGCAAAACAAGAGATTATTAAATAATTTATAAAATATGCAGCTAATTTGTGTACTTATAAAGTAAAGTTTACTGAACAAACTCATATAGATATCAACGTGGAATTCTGAGGCAATCGTAGTTAAATGCCTATATGAATTTTTTTCTTAATTTTACCAATGTGTCTTTAAAAAGCTATAACTTTTAATTTTTATTTTTTTATTCAAATAGGAATTTTTATATATGTAGATTAAGGTGTACTCAAAAATAACACTCTTCCAGATGCAGAAAGGCATTGATAAATATAGTTATTATTATTTGTCCAAAAAACAGTTCTATACCGTTTACAAAAACGTTTTGTAGTATTAATAAAGTTATAAAGTTATAAAACTTTTTTTATAATATTAATATAATTTATGTAAATTTAAGGACAAATTAATTGTAAATTCCATAAACTATTTTTATTGTAATAATCACATTTTCAACCTACTGTTGGGTGTTGGGTAGTTTTTTTAATAATTGCAAGGCATTAAAACAAATTAATTATTATAACAAAAAAATTAACTCATATTATATGATGTGCAAAATAAAAAAATATGAACTCACTTTTTAAACAACAAGTCTGCTTCGTTTATAGAATAGACCTTAAATATTTTTTTAGAAAACGTCGAAATTTTAATTTTCTTAGTGATCTTTTTGATATTTTTATAATGCTAAATTTTACCACACTTCACTCGCACAAGTGAAATAAATAAGATTATAACACATACTGTGGATTATAAAGTTATGTTCACCAAGGAGAGCGATGGCCCTTTCCCCCTCTTTGTAAGAGAAATAACAAAAATTTTGTTACCATTGCGAAATAATGGTAAATATTAAAAAAGTCTTTTTATAGCAATAAAATATTTTTGTAATTGTTCTTAACGTAAGCTATTAACAAAGATTGTTTAACTGAAATAAAATTAATTTGAATTACAACGATAGTAATTTAAAAAAGACAAATATGCCATAGTAAAATGAACAAATTTTACTATAACAACTGCGCATTACTTTATGTAAGCGCAATTCACACACAACTATATATTAAAAAAAAAAACATTTTAAGTTCGACAAAGATTTAATATAAACATAAAGTATTTCCTATTGCCATGACAATATGATAACAACTATTACTTTGTTGGATGAACATTTTTATTATAAAAGCTCAACATTGCTGCTTCATTATAGTAAATGAGAATTTTATTAACAGTAAAAAAAGTTTATTCTGTAAATAAAATTAATCTCATTACTCTGACAAATCGTAGGTTTTTGTCCCAATACGACACTGAAAATTTAATAATTAATAGTGCCCAAATTGACTACGACATAAAGCACAAATTGTTAATAGTCAAAAATAGCCGACGTAGGCGCAAAGCTACATATATTAATGGATTTACGAAAATATAAATAGACTCATTTTCTAACTCCAACGCTAACAGAAGGCAGCACAAAAATCAAAATGATCGGTGTTTACAGTACCTACTGTCAGAAAGTTGCAAATGTTTCTTTTGGCAGTTGCAGTAGAATTATAATAAAACGTGGTTCTGGAAAATTGTGCATGTGCAGAAAAAATAAACATCCACTGAGTGGCAAAATTTAACGTTATATTTAGATTAAATTTTTTTGAATTTTTAAGAAAAAAATATATTGGCAATATGCTGTGTACCTCCTACGAATATGTGTTTTTTAAATTGGCAAAAGTTTTAAATAATGCTCATAATTTATCTAATTGCATTATTTGGCACCACATAGTGATCCAATTAAATGTTATATAGTTTTGTCTAGTAAACAAATGTACCAAAAGAAAATACTTTTTTCCTAATAAAAAAATAGTAGATTGTTCTACAAGTAAAGAAAAGTGAGAGTTTTCCAGTGAGTAAAAAAAGTACGAGTTAAACATGCTATTTTTTTACCCTTAATGGAAAAAGTGGAAAACTTAAGAAAATTGTTTTTTTACAATCTTCAACATAGTT